AGATTCAATAAAAATATGTTTGTTTTTTGTTTATGATGCAAACATATTGTAAATATGAAGGAAAAAATAAGTACTTGTGTTTTTGCAAGAAAGGGTAAACCAAAGGAAGTAACTGATAATGTTTAGACGATGAAAAAGCAGGGGGGAATCAATAAGTGTTCAACTTCACCCCACTCCTTTTTAAGTAACAATGAATATTCTTTGTTCTACTGACAGTGTTCCTACGGCCACTGTTTTTTGTTGTTGTTATTGTCGTTGTGCATGATGTACACTTTTTCATTGTGTGCTTGATATAAACTAAACTGAACTAATGAATAATATAATTTTGCTTAGGCACAGCTGTAGTTATTCCTCCTGTTCTGTGTGAACAGTGAAACGCCCCCACACTGGGATGACTAAAGGTTCTTTTATTTGTAGCTTTGTAGAATGTGTCATTATCCACAATAAAGTGAATCCCGTACAACCATTGTCTGATCAACATTTGCCTTGAAAGAAACATTATAGGCTAAAATACAATGCGTAAACAGGAATAAGAGCCATAGTTTTAGGAGACATGTCCAGTGGGAGGGACTGTAAACTCACAGTGCACTGGTGAGCCAGAGACCACTGTCAGCTGCAGGAACTGGAAACTAAACTCCAGAAAATAAAAGGCAGTGTGGAAAAGTATGTCTTTTTACAAAGTGTATGTAAATGTATGGCTTCCACTGAGTTTCCAGAGCAAAACAGGAAAGGCAAACATTAAATTACGGTCGTTTTTTCCACATCATTATTTTGTGATTGCAATTATTTGATGTCACTTGGAATGTATGCATCTAAAACAAATGGAATAAATATGGAATAATATTATGAATCATAGAAAACAATAATTATATTAAATCATAATCTTTTCGAGAAGAACATTGGGAGCACAATAAGAAAACACCTTTTGAATACCTGTAATTTTTATCTAATTTCTATTTGCTTGAGGGAGCGTCGCAAATGTATTTAGTCACAGAACACTAAACACCTGCGATAAGTTTGTATTTCAGACAGATTCTGTTACATCAGAGTGCTGTTTTCTATGTGGAATACTTTCATGCTTATTTGCATATTTGCATTAATAAGTTCTTCACAAGATTGAAGAACTTATTAATGCATTGCTAAATGTCTATTGTGTGTACTTAGTATTTTTCAAGAAATGTTGCCTTATTTTATATTTACTTCAATAAACTTGTTCGCACTGAGAAACAAAGACATTTCCTAGTTTGTGACTTCCTGTTACTCACAATGCCAATAAAAATAAAACACATTATTTCTATTCCTTTATTAGCAAGACATTGCAATAATGGAGTGAGTTCATTGTGATACATGTATTTAGTTACTCCCCAACACTTTGTGGACACAGGTGACATCTGAGTGGCTGCTTGTGTGATCTGCTGGAGAACAGTTGGTTTTGAAAACTATAGCTGCTGAAAAGGAGCAATAATGTGACAATCAGCAGTGAAAATCTACTGTTGGCAACTATCAGTGCTTAACCAGAGCCAGTGCTGACCAAGACAGGAAAGAAATATATGTTTTGGACTTTAAACAAACTGTGGTGCAGCTGAAAGAACAACAATAAGTTTTACAAATCATGTCAACCCTGTATCATTTTACCAGCGTGCAGGTGCAGAAGTGATTGCGTTGAGAATTATTTGCATATTTTATTGTTATTCTCCCATGTGTGGCCTTTCTGTATTGTAAGTTGCACACTATAGTTTTCAACAGAAGTGATCTTATCTGTTGCTGCTTTTGAGCCACATGAGTCTCTGTAGAAAGCAGCTGTGTGATTGGCTTTGACATTCTCCTTTCAACAATGAACCTGTTGTGTGTTGTCAACCTCAACCACAAAACTGCTCTGACCTTTCCTGCAAACTGCTGGTGTTCCAGGACTATAAAGGAATGTAACTGGAAACTGGAAACAGTACATGTGCATTTGAGTGATGTTTTGATCCACAGTCAGAGCGCATGTCCTGATCCTGGGAGCTCCTGCACTCACTGTGTTCTGCTGCAGGCTGTCACATGTGGCTGCATGTGAGAGCTGCAGCAGCAGGAAGGAGCCTCTGTTCTCTGCTGCTCAGCCCAGGACTAGACCCCCTCCTCTCCTCCTCTCTCTCTCACTCACAGACTACACCTCTCCCTTCCTCTGCTGGTGCTGCAAAAACAAATACAATGCACAAAAAACTGGTTTGCAAAGATGCTTATACAGCTTGAACTTTTGCACATTTAGACATGTTTGTGAGAAGTGGCTCTTCCAGTTTTATTCATACAGCATTTCTCTGCATGCATTCCATTTCATTCCTAATGACTGCTGAATGACCCCCCAGAGAGGTCAGGGGTAAAGTTGTAGAGAAGCGAAAAGCAGAATTAGGTTAAACAAACATTTCCTAATCTTTGAACTTCTTGGGAGCAGCGTTCAATCCACTGTTCAGAAATTGTTTGACACCACTGGAAAAACTGGAAAACCGGATCAGAAATGCAGAAGTGGCCAAGAACGACTCTGATCAGGTATTGGCACGCGTAACAAGAAGAAATACATTCTTGAAAGAAACACATAAGAAATATGTTTGTAGTTTGTCAGACGTAATATGCATCATCCCCAGGGTCTTACGGTGGTGGCATCATGAAATTGATACAAAGGTGGATGGAAGGCAATAGAAAATAGGCAACAGAACATGCACCGAATAATGTGTTAGAATGGTCCAATAAAAGTCCTGACCTAAATCTGTGGAAAGACTTGATATCTGCTGTTCACAAATATGCTTTAATCTGAGGCGTTTTGTAAAGAAGAATGGGAAAAAACTTCCAGTCGCCAAATGTGTACACACTAATGTGGTATGGTCTTAAAAAAAACATAATTTTGTGATGGCAAATGTGACCGAAAACCCAAAATTTGTACTAATACCTTTGTAAGCCACTGTATCTTTCTATTGACCTTATCCCAAAGCCTTCAGTGCAGACAGTTCTTTCAGAATGAGCAGATAAGAATGTTCTTTTAGTCCATGCACACACGCACTCGCACATACACACACACACACACACACCCACACACACACACACACTCACACACACACACACACACACACACACACCCACACACACACATACAGTAAGTGCTTTGTATGACCTCGGTCTGTGAAATGCGCTATATAAATAAAAATTATTTCAAAACATTTGTCGATAGTAAATTATGCCAAACTTTATGATAAACTGTGAATCCCTCCTATGACCAGTTCTATAACACAGCTCGACTTCCGGTCAATTTCCTTCCCCAAATTGCATGTTTATATACTCTATCTATATTCAAAACAGTGTCGTTCTGTTAGAAAAAGACTTCATGAGAGATTACAACTATCAAAAAACCCCTAATAGATCCATGAAAAACCCTCACTATGGCGCCATCTACTGGTGCTGGAACAAAATCGCATAAACATGACGATAAAAGCAGTGTACTGATTGTACGCCCCCTGGTGGAAAATATTTGAAGCATTTAAACAGTAGCATCTGACTAAAGCAGCTGTCATGATGAAGTCCACTCTCTACTTTCACAGGGGTTTCAAATGCACCACAATGATAGTTTTCTCAATATAATCTGCTTTTAAAACTTCTATTCATTTAATGGAAGTTTAATTATGGCAATAAGTTTAATGTCCAGGGGAGTGTGCGATCACAAGGTGCTACTGGACTTCGATCCTTTAATTTAGCCGTGTCTAGTAAAACACTGCTGTTCCGTTGTCAGTCATTCAAGAATGATGCACAGGTGACATCTCTGCAGGTAAAGACTTCTATAATCAGCATAATTATTAAGTTTCTAGTCAGGACAAGCAGACAGTCTTTGTAAAAGGGTTATTGTGTTTTTACATTACAATTAATATAAAAACACAATGTTGTCGTTTTCACAACAATATTTTATTCATTTTTATTTTGAACATGACGGCCCGTATACAATATTGTTTAAATGTATGTTGTGTTGTATTGTGTGGTTCATTATTATAATTATAAATAGCTAAAAGTTCAGTGTGAGTTGAAGTCGACTTATTTAGATTTGTAGGAAACAGTGTCTGAGGCAGATACACATTAACAGTGTCATATGACGTTGAGGTTAATTGCTTGTTTTACATAACTCACGTCACGTTTGCAAATACAGGCATCGCTGTAATCTTGAACTGAACAGTGGTACATTGTGGCTTACAAATAAACGGTACAAGTCAATACATTGTTGCCCCCTCAAAATGACCATTGAGTCCAAAGGGTTCGTTTTATATTTTATTTCGGTCTCAAAAGAAAAATAAGAATAAGAACAGGTCAAGAATCGCACACACCAGGTCCCGCACACAGCCTGGCCGGGAAAAAGGCCTCTACACTGCACACCTGTGTCTGATTATCCCTGGAGATATATATTGAAAGCAGAAATCACGTGAGCTTAAGGGGTAGGGCATATAATAGATATTCCTACAATAATAAAATACTATTAAGCGAAAGCAGTGGAATTTTAGCGAATGACATGGTATAAATATTGTTATTTACAGTGACCCGTCATCCATACCAATAAAACCGTAAAGTGCTTAGTGCTATACAATAAAAATAGGTGCAAATACAGGCAGCAACACCCTCCCCCACTAAAGAAAAAAAATGTTAACCCAACATTTTCCCTTAGTTACTAGCGCCTTAGCTTAGCCCTGCAATTATAGCGAAATAGTTCATATCAGCACTTTAAGAGTCCAGATTAAATTAACAGTGTCCACTAATTCAAGGTCTCTTTTCACGGAGATACATCAGACAAGAGAGTCAATTTGTGATGCTGGGCGGCAAGTCCATAGAAGCACTGGTGGGCCCCCCAATCTTCAGGATTGACTCAAGGAAAACACCTTTTTACCCAAAATGTTTAAACATAAACCATGTTCAACAAGACTACTTAATTAGCATGTACTGTTCTGAAGTACCATTAAAGTATGAACTATTACTGCACAAAAACAGGGGCTTCAAAGTGCGACATGCAAAGGATATAGGTTGGCGGTGCCGTGGTCATCTCGGCCCCGGCCTGGACACACCGACTGGACAGCTCTGCAGTTCTCGGACAGTGGGCTCACCAAGATGATCGTAGGTGTACAGGCGTCTGGGCCGTCTGGCTCTGACTGGGCGGGGCTCTGGAGCTTCCTCAGAGGAGTCTGAGGTGGGAGTTTCTGGCTCTGCCTCCGGCACTGGTTCAGGATCAGCCTCTGGAAAGGCTTCTTCAGCTCTCTCCACAGGTGCAGCTCTCTGCTCAAGCTGTCCGGGTACGGGGGCCCTTGGCTGGAACTCCACAGCAGCCGGGTTGAGTGGCATGACGAGGTGGTAATCATCATCGCTTGAGCTCTCCGAGCTAGCTGGCTGGGTGTTACATCTAGCTCGCCTCCCTCGCCCTGGTGACACTCTGGCTCTTTCTCTTCTCCTAGGACTGGGGACAACAGGGGCAGGTTCAACCAGGTAAGGACAGGGTAAGAGCAGGTTCCTGTGCAGTACACGCCTTCTTCCTGCAGCATTCAGAGGCTCAACTGTGTACACAGGGCTCCCAGGGCCTTTGCTCTCCCTTACAACATGGACAGTGTCCTCCCAGTGACTACGGAGTTTTCCCGGACCACCTCGAGGCGTGAGATTTCTCACCAAAACGTGGTCACCTAGTTTCAGGGTAGAGCTCCAAGTCCGCTGGTTGTAGTAGTCCTGCCCTCTCTTTGCAGATTTCCTCATGTTCTTGAGGGCGATGGCATAGGCCTCCTGCATGGCCTTTCTCCACTTCTCAGCGTAGCCAGTAGGGGTCGGTTTCTCTGCTTCACCAGGCTTCTGTGGAAACAGGAGGTCAACAGGAAGGGTTGGCTCACGGCCAAAGAGCAAGAAGAAAGGAGAGTAGCCTGTCGCCTCATGGATGGTGGAGTTGTAGGCATGAACAACTTTGTTGAGATACTCCTTCCATCTCGTCTTCTCCGTATCCTCCAGTGACCGCAGCATGCTCAACAGAGTCCTGTTAAAACGCTCTGCAGGGTTAGCTTGGGGGTGGTACGGTGTAGTGCGAGAGTGATACATACCACTGTATTTTTGCAGCTTCTGAAACAGCTGGTTCTCAAACTCTCGCCCTTGGTCGTGGTGGAGTCTGGATGGAAAGCCAAAGCGTGGGATGAAGTCATCCCACAGCTTTTTTGCAGCAGTTTTCCCAGCTTTGTCTTTGGTGGCATAAGCTTGAGCGTATTTAGTAAAATGGTCCACCAAAACCAGTATATATTCTTCACCTCCCCTGGACTTCTCCAAATGTACAAAGTCTATTGAGACCAGCTCAAATGGTGCAGACGTCTCGATACTTTGCAGTGGTGTCCTTGTGACTCTGTTGGGCTTTTTCCTCTTAACGCAGCTACACACACGTGTGACGTAGTGCTCCATCTCCTGTCTCATTTTTGGCCAAAAGAAGCGTTCTCGAGCCAAAACGACCATCCGGTCAGCGCCCAAGTGTCCCATCTCCTCATGGAGGTACTTGTACACCAGGGCTTTCATGGACTGTGGCACCACAAGTTGCGTCTTGTTGTTGGTCCTCCTCCACAGGAGTCCATCTTCATCCAGCTGCAACTTTGGCCATTCCCTCAGGAGAGCTCTGACATGTTCATCTTCGGCTGCTTTATCTCTGTATTTCAGATGGACGTGTTTGCGTTTCAGGCTGGAGATCCTCTGGATGACTCGATCTGCACTCTGCTGGGCCAGAATATCCTGGATAGAGAGGGGCTGGATAGGTTGTACAAGGCTGCCCTCCTGTGGCAAAACATCAGCATTACAGGTGATAGCAGAAATCCAGTTAATCTCACCCATTTGGCTGCTCTTGATGGCCTTACAAATGCTGTCCATGGCCTCTTGCCCACATTCTTCTGTGCACTCTAGGATGATTGTCTCAATCGGCTTGGGTCTGCGAGATAAAAAGTCAGCATCCACGTTAACAGTTCCTGGCCGGTACTTTAAAGTGAACCTGTAGTCTGCCAGCTCTGCCACCCATCGATGACCAGTGGCGTTTAGCTTTGCAGACTTTGTGACATATGTGAGTGGATTATTGTCGCTGTAGACAGTGAAGTGTGGAGCATGAAACAGGTAGTCACGAAAACGTTCAGTGATAGCCCATTTAAGTGCAAGAAATTCCAATTTACCTGAGTGCAGCTTGTAGTTCTTCTCTGCAGGTGTCAGGGTTTTGGATCCGTAGCCAATCACTCTCAAACCGCCTCCTTGACGCTGGTACAGCACGGCACCGAGTCCTTCTTCGGAAGCGTCGACGTGGAGGATGAAGGGCTTTTCCAGGTCTGGGTAAGCCATAACAGGTGGGGTTGTGAGTTGGTCTGTGATGGTCTCTAAAATGCCTTTGTGGGTCTCTGTCCATTGAACAGGTAGGGACGGTGAGAGCTGGGCACTGGGGCGTTTAGCCCCCTTCCCGTGGCAGTGTTTCAGCTCACCCTTGGGCTTTGTCAGCAGCTCGTACAATGGCTTTGCAATCCTGGAGAAGTCCTGGATGTATGTTCTGTAGTAGCTCAGAAATCCAAGGAGCTTCCGCACTTCCCTCACTGTCGCTGGGGTCTGCTGTGTAAGAGCCTTCACTGCCTCCACCTCTTTCGGGTTCATCCTGTACCCCTCAGCAGAGATGACACGCCCCACATACGTCACTTGTGGCTTGAATAACTCACATTTTTCAGCCCTGAGCTTTATCCCACAGGCTTTCTGTCTCTGCAGGACTTGTCGGACATTGTGCACATGTTGGTCAAAAGTGCGGCTGAAAACAAGGACATCATCCAGATAAGGCACACAGACTTCATCCCTGAGGTCTCCCAGACATCCCTCCATGTGGCGTTGAAAAGCAGCCGGGGCATTTGAGAGTCCAAATGGGATTCTGAGCCACTCATAGAGACCCCAAGGTGTAATAAAAGCGGTGCATGCTCTGCTTTTCTCACCCATGAAGCCTTGGTGGTATGCTTTGCCTTGGTCTAAGACAGTAAACCAGGAATTCCCTCCCAAGTTTTCCAGGATTTCTTGGATCCTGGGGATGGGATGGCGGTCTGGCAGAGTCTTCTCATTCAGCAGCCTGTAGTCAACGCACAAGCGGAGAGAGCCGTCCTTTTTCCTGACACAAACTACAGGTGACGAGTAGGAAGAATATGATTTTGTTATCCAGCCTCTGTCTAACAAGTCCTGAATGTGAGACTTGACTTCCTGGTACAGATGTCGTGGAATGGAGTTATATGTTTTTTGAACAGGAACAGGGTCTTTCAGACTTAGGTCCAACTGTAGGCCAGTAATACAGCCAGCGTCCCACTCATCTCTGGAGAACGCGTCACACTCCTCCCTTAGCATTTGACGCACTCTGCGCTGCTCCTCTGCAGAGAGGTGGCTCAGGTCCACAGGCGGGTCCCAGGGCTCCCCTTCTAGTGATGACGTGGTGCTGACCCCTGGTGGCTGACACTCTGAGGACTTGGGCTCCAATGGATAGACAGCATCAACATTATGTAACCAGCCCAGTGTTGTGCGGCCATACAGTGTAATATCAGAGTTTGTGGCGTTTTCAACAGTCACTCTAATCCTTGTGTTGGCCTGTGGATATTCAAGCAGCTGCTCTCTCACTTTGAGTCCTGTTGGCCACGGTGTTTCTGGGTTGGGTTCCAACATGACTCGATGTCCACAAAGCGCACCCATTGTCACATTGTTACATTGCACTTGGATTGTACTATTCTTTGGGACAGTGATTGGTATTTTACCCATACGAGCAATGTGGGAATTGTTCTCAGGTGGCCGTTTCTTTAAAACTGTTAAAACAGCTCTGGCAGTTTTGGTCCCCACTTCAAATGCTGAACAGAGTCTCTTTATCATGTGACCGGCAGGGAGACAGCTCTCAGAGTCCCCACTTGTCAGCGCCAGCTCTTCAATCACATTAAATCCAATAATTGGACGCTCAAGCTCGGAAGAAGCTACAAGAATTGGGACAAGCACAGGTTTATCGCTCATCCCAGCCACAGCATTTTTACCCAGTGTAAATTCCACTTCAATCCAGCCTTGGTAGGGGATCTGTGTCCCATTTGCCGCAGACAGGTCTAGTCCCTCCCCCAGTAACTCCTCCACAGGCCTCACTGTAACATCAGGTAAGTGTCTCTGCTTCCACTCTGCTCCGATGATTGAGACTTGAGAGCCAGTGTCCCACAGCACTCTGGTGTCAACATGGTTCATTGTGGCTCGAACAAGGCACCTCCTCCCCACTAGTTTAGCTGTCTCATGTTGTTTGCCAGTGAGGGGTGCTGTAGTGCAGAATAGATCGGTGTTCTTACCAAGATGTACACTGCTCTCAATCTTATTAGTGTAGGCTGAAGCATTTCTGGGTGCTCTGCGACAGCCAACGGCCCAGTGATCTACGCTCCCACATTTGTAGCAGTGGTCGCATCTCCCTTCTGGATTGGTCCGCTGGCACTGGTGACACAGTCGATTTGGGCGTGTCCTGTGTGATTGTCTATTGTAGCTGCGGTCACCCTGTCCCTGTGGTGCTGGTGCTCGGAGGGGCCGATGCAGGCCTGACAGCTGCGTGGTGAGGTTTTGAATGGCTTCACAGATCGCTCTATTCCCTTGTTCCACTTTTTCCATTAACGTGTCACGTTTATGTGATCGTTCTTGTTTCTTATCATTTTTAGGGGTGCTGTCAAGACTGCAATTCTCAGAATTTGTTAAATGTGGATCATGACTCACTGCTGACACCTTGACCCTTGATTTTGCTGCCAGCTTGCTCTTCCTCTCCATCTCCAGATTATAGGCAGCAGTCATCTTCTCCAGCAGGACTTCATCTGGCACATTTGTAATTTGCAGATATGGTTTTAAATCTGTGCGGATGGTGTCGTCTTGGAGTCCAGTAAGTATGGTTTGTAGGAACTGGTTTTGAATGAGTTCTGGGCTGTACTGTAATCCAACGTCTGCCCTTTCTGAAGCAAAGTGTATTTGCTGCCTCAGGTCCATCGCTCGGACTAAGAACTGGACTGGAGTCTCTCTAGGTTCTTGTGCAACACGTGTGAGGGAGTGATACAGCTCCGTGGCATCTTTTTCAACAAAATGAGTGCGTAATATTTGTTTCAGATTTTGTAAGGACAGTTCATCTCTATTCTCCAGATAGCTCTTTAGTTTTGTGCCTGGGACAATAGCTTGAATTACTGCATCAACGATCTCACATTCATCATATCCTTTCTTTAAAGCTTTTGTAATCTGTCTCTCCAAACTTGCATATCCCAGCTTATCTTTCTGATTATGTTCACCAATCTGTCCATTAATCTTTAAGTCCTTCCTGTACATTGGGTGAACAACAGGTTGAGTCCTTTCAGACACATTATTAGCACCAGAAACAGTGGTAGAGGTGGGTTGTGTTATCACAGGTCCATGGTTATGTACAGTACCGGCAGTGTCCACCTGAGGGCGGTGTGGTGACGTGGGACCAGACGTTGAAGTAGCTTTCCTCAGTTCATCGATCCTATCATTTATTTCCAATAATATGGACATTCCTTCATCCTCTAGCGATGTGGCATCATCACTCTCCAGATGCGCCAGAATAATCCTCCTCAATTTGCGAGGTGAGCGCTCATCTCCAGTGACAGTAATTCCGAGTGTAGTGCAAATGTCAATAAGTCCCACAGCAGGTAAGGTAAGTAACTTTCCCTCGATTTCCTCCAACATATTTTCCCCATCGGACACTTGTTGATTGAAGTCTGGCATCGTTGGAGAGTTTACTTCTGCTTTGGTTGAGACTTGTGATGAATTATTCTGTCTTCCTCGGTGCGGCTTGCCTCAGCTCTCCGATAACTCCGTGCTGGCGTCTTGTAGTAGCAATTAAATCCACTCACGATTTAAATCCACACACGAACTCCGTAGCAGTGAGTTGCAGTAGCGATCCAGATGCTTTATACACCTAAAGCAACCGAGCAGAAACACCAGGATTTGTTGCCCCCTCAAAATGACCATTGAGTCCAAAGGGTTCGTTTTATATTTTATTTCGGTCTCAAAAGAAAAATAAGAATAAGAACAGGTCAAGAATCGCACACACCAGGTCCCGCACACAGCCTGGCCGGGAAAAAGGCCTCTACACTGCACACCTGTGTCTGATTATCCCTGGAGATATATATTGAAAGCAGAAATCACGTGAGCTTAAGGGGTAGGGCATATAATAAATATTCCTACAATAATAAAATACTATTAAGAGAAAGCAGTGGAATTTTAGCGAATGACATGGTATAAATATTGTTATTTACAGTGACCCGTCATCCATACCAATAAAACCGTAAAGTGCTTAGTGCTATACAATAAAAATAGGTGCAAATACAGGCAGCAACAAATACATAATCTAAGGTGCCTTATTTTTTAAACGCAGTCATGCCAGTTCTGAGGCGCTGGGAAAGGAAGTCTGTGTCTCAACTAGTGCAGCAGTAAGTGGATCAGCAAACTATAATATCAGATGTGTGTATTTATTTAGGGAAAAATACAATTTGTGTTTTAACAGATATCAAAGCTGCACTGACTTGAGAGACATTGGAAAGTATCACAAAAAAGAGGTATATGCTTTCAAATTTATTCAAGGTATTGCAGACAAAGCATGACACTTGTATGTGTGCTGCAGGACCTTGTGGACGGGAGATGTCACGAAGGAGACGTACGCGTGAGTTTGTCCAGATGTCTGTCCATGGACGTCCTGCCGCAGAGGCCAGCGTCCAGCACCAGAGCCTTGTGTGCGCTGTTTGAGTCAAAGTTGCAGTACTCCAACAAACCACTAGATGGCGGTCTACAGGACAGGAAAAACAACAGCAATAATCCAAATGTTCAAGTAGGTACAATAAAGATTTTAAACACGTTTGACTGATATTGGTAGTTAAGGACTTATTGCTAACTATTGAGATCTAGAGTGTACTTCTGTGATGACCTGTACAACTGTATACACCTGCATACTAATTAATAGTTGGTTAATTATATTTATTTTATTTAAGGTTTTAAGTTTATGTTATACTAATTTTCAGAAGGATTTGAATTTGTTCGAGCGTACAGCTATGAAGGAGTGTTCTAACAGAGGAACAAGAGTCTTAAAGGGTGAGTAATGGTTATTCTAAACCTTCAGACATTGTAAATATTTGATGCAATATCAAAGGTTTGAGACTTATACTTTCTATTTATTCTTTGTTATAAATTATTTCCAATAAAAAACAAACAAACATAAACACACACACCTAGGTCCAGGATAGGGATTAAAAATACATTTTGAAATATGAAAATCTGTAAAAAAATAAAAATAAAAAATGACTTGTGTGTAATGCCTAAAAAAAGAGTGTAAGCCTAAAAGCATTTGACCAGTATCCAGTGCAATCAGGAGGATGTGAGGAAACGGCTAAATAAAGACACAGCTGTGTGCGAATGCATAAGTGTTCGGCACATACCTTCAGATCAGAGGGGCCAAGACTGCATCATCCGGATAGGTCATGGTTTAATCTGTGATGAGATCCTCCATCTATAAACAATAACATTTATTATTTATAAAATATAACAATATTAAACTGTTTTGTTTACTAATGCAAAACAATTACACATTCCCCGTGGACTACACACTAACTTTGTAGCTCAGATGGGCACTTTTACAGGAATTCATTAATGTTTATAGATTAGTGATAGTAGTGGTATTATGGTATTAACAATATGTGAAATTAAATGTATTTAGAGCAAGTCTAAAGCATGTCCTACTTGGGTTATGTGAAGATGATCATAGACTGTCCAAAATACTAAGGCCTATGACTCATTCACTCGTCTTATTTTGTCACTGATAAACCTGTACTGACATTCTCAGGCCAATTTTAGTGACTGACAATGTACGAGTGGGAATGGGGGTGGAGGGGTGCCCCTGTCCCACGTTGAGTCACAGAGGGGAACTGACTCGGTGCAGTGCAGGGCAACAGCCACCACCCAAAAATAACCAGGGCCACTTCCACAGGATAAAAATCAGCTGTCTGCCAAAGCAGAGCCTAGAAAGAGTGTAGCCTCAGATGAGATAGAAGCACTAAAGACGCAGTGTATCCACAATAAGATAATTTCTACTGGTGAGTATTGAGCGCTTTGGCTGAGCTTTGTGTGTTTTCAATAAGATCTGGTTGTTTTTTAGTTATGATTAGGTGATGACGCGTCCTTGTTGAATTAACACCTAGAAGTAAACATTTATTCAGATATATTTTTCAGGATTTTATTGTCAAATATCAAGTGAATAATGATGTTGTATTGTAATAATTTTACAGCATAATGTTTCTTGTCCTGGTGATGTGGTCAGTGTGGCATGAGAATGTGGGTACGATGGAAAACAGTTGATGGTGCAGGAGAAAGTGTTGAAGAGCTGCTATTTGCTTCTATTATTAACCCAGAAGAAAGTGGGTTTTCTAATATCTACCTTTAATATAACTTGTGCATCCATAGTAGTTTGTTGTTGCTTGTACTTTCATTTATTCAACAATAGGCATGACCACAACAGGAGATCTCTCTTTCTGTCTGTTCACCCATCTGTGACAATGTTTTAAGTCCAGGCTCGTGAGAGGCGCCACTTTGTTGGTCCACTCTTTTGTCCCTCCAGAGCTCCATGGGTCAAAGAAAGGTGTGCTACAAATCTGGGTATTTGTTACAGCCGGGTGCCTACAGCACAGTGACCTGCACAAACAAATAATTACATTCACAAGTCAAAATTCCTCATGTGAAGTAACAAAATCCACACACTGGCTCATTCTTTCACAGCGGGTGAAGAAGCAATATGTAAAATCAGAATATGAATGCTGGTACACTCTAATTGAATGTATTGTGGTTCATATTTTTTTGCATACACTTTGATATTTGAGTTAATGATGGTAGACCAGGCGTTGTTTCTATTTGAATGCTGAAATTGAGCCTATGTTTAGTCTGAAGCAGCTGAAATATAAATATATTTTTTCTTTTAACAGTGTCTCTCAGACACATTCCTCCCATCAGGTGCTGATGCTTGCGTCTGAGAGCTCTGCCCAACAATGTGAAAACAATCTGGGTCACTGCAGCTGACACCAGTTGGTGTTTTTTTTTTTCTTCCTGGGCGTCATGGTCGGCCCTGGCATGCTGAGAGCTGAGGCCTGCAACAGCAGGCACTGTCTGTGTGGCCCTGTTTGTCTGACGAGGGATTAAATACTGTTGGCCACTATCTTTTAAAGTTACTTACAGTATGTACAGTGGAACTCAGAGGAGTACATGTATCAAAGATATATAATGAATTGATTGTTTTTTTGCTCTAATGTGGCTGTTTTTGGTAAAAACAGAGTATATAAACATCCAGTATTCACTTTATCTGGGTCCCTCACAATACAGTAAAATATGCAATACGTGGCTCACAATGATACACAATGATGAATATTGATGTTTACAATACAATACAATACAATTTATTCTTATGTAGCCTTAAACAGCAGTTTATCATAGAAATTGTCAACAATATATTATTTGTAATGTCCAATCAAAGGATTGTTTATCACTTTGTTTATGTGGTTACTTTTGTTTATTTACTCTTTACATTATGATGTGGAGGATCTTTGGAACAAAGGATTACTTTTCATGGACATGGACATTTTTTAGAAATTTATTTTCAGAAAAAAATTATTGCATTTGTACAACCATCAACTATTGTTGACTGATTAACAGATATGTTTTCAAATTGAATTAAAATGAGATTCAACATGCTGTGGTAACTTATACAAAGTGGAAGGTTTAGACCTGCCAGCATCTGCTGAGAGGTTTTAACATATTCATTCTTGAAATTAGCATATCGATATTGACCGCAATATTAATATTTTGGCACACCATTTAAAGCAGTAATACTGTGTCAAAATATGTAAAATCCATCCATGCTTTTTTGAGCATTTACTGTTGTTATTTTCATCGAAGGAAAATACTTGTACTCAATAGGATATTATTCAGAAAGAGAGACTGTGTACAGACTTCCTTTATTTGTATTTTGTGTAAGATAAATAATATTCATTCAAATGTCCAATCAAACCTAAATACAACAACACAAGTCAATACAAAGAGGTAAAAATAAAACATGTAAATATCTATACGAAATAATAAATCTTGCATTGGTGTTGTTTAGCTTTGGCTGTTCAAAAGAGCAGCAGATAAAACAGTTTCCATAGCCAAAACAGATATCACTTTCCCGATAAATGTGCTTACTTCTCACAAGATCTCCTGAAAGTAAATCAAGTTTAATTTCCTTAACTATCTGCTTTTTATGTTTTTCAGATGATAAAAATAGTGGCATTCTGATTAAGGGGTCATCAATCCAAAGCAGATACCACATACTAACTTCCTCTTCAGTGAGAGACCGCTCCGCTCTGTATCTGTCCTCTGCAGCCGACGCCCCAGGAGAGCAGCCCGTGAGTGCTTCAAATGCCTTACATTCTACACCACTCTGAGGTCAAAGACTTTGTAGGGTCAGATCATTCTTCAATTATACGAGAAAACTGTGAAATGCACCATTGATATGAAGGGGGCACAGCTGATCATGCATTTTATTCAACAAACACCAATCATGGGGAAGCAAGAGGGCTGCACATTTGCTCTCATTCTTTATAGAAAGTAGAACTGAGTCAGGGAGACAAGCAACATCTTTTGCTTTGACTTCTTTTGATGACTGAGTATAGCTCTCAGACAAATCCCAGTCGGCATTAATTTTTAAGAATTTTTAATAATGAATAGAAAGAATGTTTCATGTATAGGATTTCTTTAGCCTACAAATGTTAATAAACAAGAGAATACATACAAAATATTTGTTGATTCCGAAAACACACATATACACAGTCAAACGAGTATGGTTCCCAAAGAAATACATTTGAAAGTATGAGACTTTTTTGGCTTTCTCTGCTAAAAAGTTTTCTGAACTCTGGCCTAAATGATATACAATACAGTAATTTTGCTGAATATGAAAAAACATTGTATCCGTCATACCAGTTGTTGGTTTTGTTTTTCATTATCTATGATGTTGTGTTTTTTATTTATTTCAGGAATCATCTGGTGTTACACACGAAAGAAAGACCAAAGTCACAAAGGTACTGTACAATGTTCTCTGTAGCTATGGTCATGTTATGTCTTATGCTTTGCTTCCATTTAAGCAACTTTGTTTTTTTTTACATCTAAACACAAAACTTCAAAACCTAATTGATTAAAAAGCTAAACAACTTATACATGCGTCTCATAAATATACCTTATATGTATAGACTATATTAATAAGTATGGCATAGCGCTGTATTTTGCATCTGCTTACTAACAGCTCTGAAGTGTTTTCTTAACCCTGGTTTGAAACAATGGAACATTTTCTGCAAACCGAAAGCTGACGCAATGAAAGGTAAAATGTGGCATCACATCCATTGTGCCATTTATATGCACTTTGAATTCAGTCAGTGATCCTGCTGATTTTGTAAGGTAAGACCTCTGACTATTCTCATGGTCTCTTCTTTTAGATGGATGTCACTGAAGGCAGAATCACTGTTTCACACACAGTATGTGATGATGACGAACTTCCTCCTCCTCCACCTGTGCCTCCCAGGCCATTGGATTATGAGGAATCTTCTACAGGAAGTCCTCTTCCCCCACCTCCACCAAAAGAATCCTTCTCCACTTATTACCAACAACGAAATAAAAGTGAACTAAAGAGACTGTTTAAGCACATCCACCCGGATCTCAGAGCAGGTCTTGATGACGTTGCTGAAGAAGAGCTGTTGAGGGCAGTTCAGATGGAAAACCCTCAGGCAGCAGAAGACCTGTACCAGGGCGAAGTCCAGTCCATGAGGTGGATTTTTGAGAACTGGACGCTGGACAATATTGGAGAACCACGTGGAACTAAGAAGTTGCTAGATGTGGAGGATCTAACAGGTGGTGATGTCCGGGGTACCACGTCTAAGTTTGAGCATGCTGATTTGAACCAACCAACCACCCAACGACAAGTGTCAGTTTGTGGTGATGTGAGAACATCAGCATGGCTTTTTGAAACACAGCCTCTGGATACTCTGAATAAATCTACAGAAGGAGGTGAGTTGGTTGAGGCACTACTTAAGGAGCCCATTCAGCCTGGTGATGTGAAAGGGAATCGACATCTGTTTGAATCTACACCCCTCAGTGACTTGGGACGCTACAGCTCAGTAGAAGACCACAGTTTCTTGAAATTGAAGTCTGAGCTCCAAGAACAAAAGGGAGATGTTCAGAAGACAGTGAAGCTATTTCAGGCTGATCCCAACTGTGCCATAAAAGACAAGAGCGGCAATATCCACAAAATAAAATCTATTTGCAGAGAAGAGATCAACAGCAGCCACATCAGCACCGCACGCTGGCTATTTGAGACACAGCCCTTAGATTTGATCAATAAGGAAACTGACAAAGTCAAAATTATTAGGGGGATTTCATTGGAAGACCAGAAAGGAGGAGTTGGGAACAAAAGGTGGATGTTTGAGACACAACCAATTGACACAATACATGAGGTGATTGATGGAGACAAGTTTGAGAGGAGTGTGGTTGATTGTGCAACTGATGCTGATGTTGTCAATAAAACCAAACTTTTTGAGACAAGTCCTTTGTCAGCATTGAGGGGAGACTCTGTTGAAAGAAACATGCAGAAGAATGAAATTATTGGTGGAGATGTTAAGTCATCACTTTGGCTCTTTGAGACCCAGCCCATGGAGACTCTGAATGAGAATTACGAAATTGGACAATTACAGAAAATTACTCTTTCAGCTGAAGAACAAGGAGAGGTTAAAGGCAAGAAACATCTATTTGAGAGCTGCAGTATGCAAACCAACATTTTGAATAAAGAACAGGAGGTTGAAAAAGGAGACGTGAAAACCTTCAAACATCTATTTGAAACAATACCCATTAGTAAGATAGCTCAGAGAGAGGAGCACAACCAAAAACTGGATTTGAAGATTGAAACAGGAAATGCACAGGAAAACAAAGACTTTTTCGAAAGAAGTAAATTGTATGCAATAAAAGACAGCTCAGGAAATTTGCACAAGTTGACAGCCATTAGTCGAGAAGAATCCATTAAAGGACAAGTACAAAACTATAAGTGGTTGTTTGAGACCAAGCCTTTGAAAGATCTCAATGAAACCAAGGGAAGTGTTGAAGTCATTAAAGGGATCACGAGAGAGGAAGACACAAAGGGAGATGTGAAGACAGCAAAGTGGCTTTTTGAGACACAAACCATTGATGGGATCCATATGAAGTTTAACCCGGCAAATGCAACAGCAGATGAGGAACAGAGTAAGGGGGACGTAAAAACCTGCAAGTGGTTATTTGAAACCCATCCTATGGACACACTATATGAAAAAAGTGAAAATGTCACAGAAAAAGAGGCTATTGATAGCACTAATGTAAAATCCATTACCTGGATGTTTGAATCGCAGCCCTTTGACAGCATCAAGGACAGTGAACAATACAATTTGAAGCTTTGTGATACAATTCAAGACTCTCTGAAACCCGAAGTTGGTGTTCAAACAGTAAAACATCTATTTGAAACAGAAACCCTAGACAGAATTCAAAAAGATGCACATTTGGACGAGTTACATTGCATTAGTCAGGTAGATCTACAGTCAGGAGATGTTTCAAGAGTCAAAGAACTATTTGAATCTCAGTCTCTTGATGAAATTGGGCTAGAAATGACATCATTCGACTCCCAAAACCATAAAGAATCCATTGAGAAAGGGTCTGTGCATAAAGTTACCTGGCTATTTGACAACTGTCCTTTGAACAAGATTAACAAGGACAATAAAGAGGAAATCATCCAAAAAGTTGGTGACACAGAATGTGTAGATGTCAAACACAAAAAGTTTATATTTGAAACGTCATCATTGGACAAGATTTACGAGGAAGAAAAAGACCAGAAATCGGCAACTGTTGAAAAACCAACCAGTAGCATTGATGTCAAGACAAGCACCATGATGTTTGAGTCCACTCCAATGTATGCAATCAGAGACAAAGAAGGACAGTTTCATGAGGTTACAACGGTGAAAAAGGAAGAAGTTTTAACTGGAGATGTAAGAGGTGCTCGATGGATGTTTGAGACAAAGCCACTCGATGCTATAAAAGCTGAAAATGAGGTCTATGTCATCCGTGCTGTCACCCAAGAAGATGTTGAAAAAGGAGATGTCAAATCAGCAAGATGGAAGTTCGAAACACAGCCTCTGGACACTCTTACAGATAAGGATGTAGTTGTAGTTAAAAACTTTGATGATTTTGGAAGTGGCACAGTGCAGCAGAATAAAGAATTGTTTGAATCTGACCAAGCTTCTAAGATTAAGCGAATGGTAAGTGTCACAGACGTCCAGAGTGGAGATGTAAGAACCTCGACTTGGCTTTTTGAAAACCAGTCCATTGATTGTCTTAAGGGAGATTCTGAAGAGCAAGGCCAAGTGCAAACAGTTCACAGAGAGGACAGTCACAAAGGAGATGTCAAGCGTTGCACTTGGTTGTTTGAGTCCCAGCCACTGGACAAGATCAAGGAGCAGGAAGGCTCTTCGGCCGAGAGTGCTTTGGCTAAAATTCCCAAGTCTGATGTAAAATGCACCACTTGGCTTTTTGAAACAATGCCATTGGACAAAATAACTGCCACTAATGTTATAGATTCTCTGTCCTACCTGCATGAACTTGGTGCTGTCCATTCAAGTGGTATCATCATTGAAAGAAAAGACAGTCAAAATGTCAATATGGCCAAGTATTGCATTGAAAGTAACAAAAATGTTCAACTCCATAACGAAGAGGTAATTGGAGGTAATATTAGAAATATAATGATACAATTGCTTTTCAAACCAACACTAAAGCCGCAAATAACCCTTTTAAGAGAAGTGGAGAAAGGCAATGTGAAGACTACAGTGGTTGAACTTCCTGTCTACGAGTCCAGTTCTATGAGCTTTGAGAAAGATCAGAGAATCCAAAATATTGTTCAGAGGATTGATGAACTATTTGATCAAGACAAGACCTTTAAAAGAGGACTTATAATGCAAGAGACGGAGGTAGGACAAGCAGAGATGTTGGTTTATTCATTCATAAATCAATTAGAAGCAAAAAATGATGTCACAATAGAAAAGGGAGATGTTAGGTCCACTATTGGAAATTTGCTCGCAACAGCCAATGAGCAAAGAACAACATCGTCGTACAGACTAGACATGAACAGAAAGGGTAATGTGAATTTATACAAAAGACGCATTGAGGAAGGAGACCTAAAGAGTCTTCACACTGAGGATTTAGAAGATGAAGTTGATAACTGTCATATGTCACAAGAACATATCGAAATTGTACAGGGGGATGTGAAGGAAGCAAAGAGAAGTTTATGTCAGCAAAAAGAACAAGTAGAGAGGACCGTTTCAGATGTCTTACCTGGAGATGTGAAGACCACCAAAAAGGTTTTTTCTTCTGAAAGTAGTGTAAATGTTGACACCTGTATCGCAAAGGACGACATAATTCCTGGAGATGTCATGATGGCTAAGCAACAACTTTCTGTGAAACAGCAGACTTCTGTGGAAAAGGAAGAAATTGTCAGTGGTGACATCAAAGCAACAATGCAAGCTTTAGAACAAGCAAAGCAGCAAAGTATGACTATTGAACGAGAGGTTATCCAACCTGGAACGATTTATGATATGGACTTGTCAAGTCCAGATCTGGAGTCAGAAACCAATCAGATCCAGAAAGAAGTGATCATTTCTGGGGATATCAAAGCTGCTAAAAAATCACTTGAAATGGCAAAACAACAAAGTATGCAGATTGAACGAGAAGTTGTTGTTCCAGGGAAGATATACAATTTAAACACATCAACGCAAGAAGAAACGTCTGCAACAATGTCATCCACTTCCAGCTCGAGATATCAGCAAGTGAAGACGAACCCTAAGGTCAGTGAATTAGTAAAACAAAGGGTAAATGCCTCCTATGAGGCTGATGAACAGAAACCAGTTTTAGTGAGTAATGGTACAATATCAGAACCCCCATATGAGTGCAACGGCCATGCTAATGAAGATGAGACAGGAGAGATTATTGGAGTCGATATAAAAGCAACTATAAGGTCTTTGCAAACAGCTGTTTCAGAGCAAAAATCCACAGATAAAGAGGACATTGTAAAAGGCAATGTACAATTGGCATTGCAGTCTCTTGAAAGGTCTAGCGTAAATGTATCCAAGGGTGATTATAAAGCTGCCATGATATACAGGAATTCAGGAAGGAGCAAGATAGTCACCAAATCTTGTGATGAGATGCAAGTGCTGTCTGACACAAACCTCTCTCCTTCGATTTCAGTAACCCATGAGGAGGATTCAACCACTGTTCCATCCGTCTCAGTAGAAAAAGATAACTTAAGATTGTCCCACTGCACCAATACAACTTCAGTCCTACCACCATCATTTGTAAAAACATGCAAAGAAAAGCCAGTATTGCCTCCAAAACCTCACTGGACAAAATATGTTTTGGTGGAAGAAGATATGACTACTGATGAAAACTGTTCCGTAACAACAAATGGAGCTGGTCCCTCTTCAAGTCCACTTTCCTTCCAGGGCAAAGCTTCTCCAGCAATAGACAAAACATATACAGCAATTAAGACTCCAGAAGTTAATTCAAAACCTTCAGATAACCACTTCCAAAATCAATGTAATAGAGTCGAAATGGAACGAAATGTCACACAGAAAATAAATGCTGCAGAAGAGATTCAAACGTGCATGAAGCAATATGCAGAGGAGGGAAAACTTGAGACCAACCTCAGTGTGAAAGCAGCTCTACAAAACTTTGAAAGAAAAGAGAAAAGAGGCCCAGTATTGTGTAGAAAGGTAAAAGTAACAGATCCAAAAGATACAGACATCTCAATGAGTAATATGCAAAATGCCTGCAATGAGAATCACAGTCACACCAGAGGACAACAAAATCATACAGAAAAAGTTGTTTTGAGGGAGAAAAAAGTTAGGGAGACTGAAGAGCAGAGACGGCAAAGGTTATCTGTTCACATGGATGAAATAGTGACTGGAAATGTTGAGGTTGCAATGGAAATCTTTGATAATTTACGTAAACGTGATGAACTCCAAGAAGTCCTAGATGAAGTGCAAGAGATAGAAGGAGATCGCAGAAGTATGAATGACAAATCCCTAAAGAAGCTGCACAAAAAATACCCGGTTTGGGCTTCAAATGAGGCAAAACATGAATCAATGGATGAGAAGTTTGAAGCGGATTCACAGGACGATGATATGGAAAGCATATCTTCTGTTGACACTGCATATGAAGATCTGGAAAAGGCCAGCAAAGAAATTCTACTTCTGAAGGAACAGACCATTGCCAGACTTCTTGACATTGAAGAAACCATTAAAAAAGCCCTGTACTCTGTGTCCAATCTCAAATCAGAGGCTGATATAGCAGGCCTCTCTGGTCTATTTGATGAAACAATGAAGTCAGAACAATACGTTCAACCTACCAACAATATCAGGAAAATAAGCATTGGCTCCTCTAAATCCAAAACGGGGCCTAAGGAAGCTGCCAATACCCCAAATGGTTTCAAGTCGGAATCTCAACGCCATGCTCAGGCAAGGCAGTCACCATCTCAGTCTTCACCATCATTCATATCTATTCATTCAGCTGCAAGAAAACCTGTTGAACAACCAACAATGACAACTTTTCTACCAAAGCCAGAGACTCGACCCCCCTGCTGCCACAAAGACAACATTAATGCATCAAGACTTCCCCCTCAGCGCAAAGTCAGTGTACTGGAGGTTAAGACCGGCCCAGGCCAACCATTGTCAGACGTCATCGATAAAAAGACGGTCAGTGAAACATACGAAGAGACAGACGGATTTGGAAATGTCTTCATGTCCTCCACCACTTCAACATTTGTCCACAAGCAATCGGACAGCAAATCCTCAGCTTCGTTTGAAGTCATTCCCCCCAGATGTGAAATTATAACATCTCCATTAATGCAGAGACACCATTTTGAGGATCATGGCTTAAAGTCCAAAAGAGAAGGCAGTGTTTTTGTTACATTTAGCCCTTCAATGGACAAGCGTTAGACTTTGTATAAATAATGATAGTGATTACTACAAACGATTATTATTTGCATCATAGTCATTATTTATATATTTCTTTTTGTATGCATTTTAAAGGATTTGTTTTGTTAAGTTAATTATCTTAGATTTTTTTAAAGAAATATAATTTATAACATAAATGATTCTTTACTAAACAAAAGAATAGTTTCATTTGTATGTGATCGATCAATGTTAATAAAAGAGATGATTGACTAATGAGTTTGTTGTTTGTAAAAAATATAATAAAAACATGATTTTAATTACTTAAAAGGTTCTGTGTATGCTACAACTGACAATGCTACAGCCACTGTATCTTACCAATTTTTCCCTTTTAGTTTCAGTTTCCCGTCAGAGAATTGTGTTCTGCTTGTTTGACTCCTGTTTATCCAATGGAAAAAATGGTGGCCAATAAACTCATACTACACAGTAACTGCTTTTGCTGCAAACACTGTAAGAAGAAGCTTGGGTGAGAAATGTATTTTCTCTTTTTTTCAGTTAATCAATCAACAAATTTAAATCTAAATCAAATCACAAAATAAGTAAAAAAAATCCATCTGAATCAATAACAGCATTTTTCAGACTCCTTCAAAACCATCAGACCACCCTTTGTGAACACTTCGGAGCAGAAACATTGTCATGTTTTGGCCTCTGGTGACAGCCTTACTCTCATTATGTGGAAACAATCTCTGCTCATGGATTACATTTTAAAATGAATCCTATTTATTAATGTAAAACGATCAGTAAAGCTGCTGTATAATAGATCTGATAAACATTTTGCTGATTTCACACACAAAAATAGATTTAGGGACTTCCGGGAAAAGATCATCAATATTTGGGGATTATTTTATATTTATTGAGAACTGCATGACAGAATTAATTTATTTTTCCTCAGATACAATAATTTTATCTGAAAATCCTGATGATTATTAAGACAGTTGGTGATTCATGGCATAAACAAATCTTATATTAATGTGAACATACATTGTCTTAAACAGATTTTTGTTGTTGCAGCCTTCACAACTATTCCTCTCTTTATGGGGAGTTCTACTGTGTTTCGCACTACCAGCAGCTTTTTAAAAGAAAGGGCAATTATGATGAAGGATTTGGCCATAAGCAGCATAAAGACCGCTGGATTCAGAAGACTACAAAAGAACCTGATGCCATTTCCCCTCCCAAAGCAACAAATACCACAGCCGTCCATTCAAAGGGTGGTGCACGACCTCTGAATACAGTTAAGTTCCCTGCAAAAAATGTAAGCAGTCCTGACGACAAAGGGAAGCTCAAAATAAGCTGGCCTCCAGAGAACAAAAGTTCAGTAAAAAAGCAGGTAAAATATGAACTGCTGCCTAAGAAGGAGAGTGGTGATGATTTTGGCAAAGGAGCATATGATAAAACAACAAAAAAACGAGATGACAAACAAACAGACTTTTTACAAATAAAACCAAAAATACTGAGCGGTCAAGATATGAAAAAATCCGACTCCGAATTACAATTAAGGAAAGCAGTTCAGCAAATTAACCCAGTACATCAGAAAGAAACAAGACAAAGGAACAATTATCATTTAGCAGGTGATCAAATTAAGCCAAAAAATATGAAACCACAGCCAGGAAAGAGCACTGGAGTTACAAAGATAATTAATCGTTCTGCAGAATTGAAGCCAGATAAAGCGAGGAAAACAGTGCACTTTGAGCCCAATATTGATACCCCTGAGGATGGCAGAGAATTAGCAACAACCAAAGAAGAAAAAAGTGTTCTTATTAGCCAGCAAGAGGCCATCGTCACAACGTCTAATGAAGCACAAGCGGTTGAGAGTACAAACTTTGTCAAAACAAATATTGAGAATGATGAATTGTTGGAGGAAAACTCTAATCATTTACATAACAATAAAACTGTTTGGATGAATATAGAGACAACAGAGACAACAGAGGCAGCAGTATTGCCAGATTTAAGCCAACAGGATTCTAGAGATATAAAAGAAAGTGAACTAAAACCATCAGACAAACCAGGCCCAATGGTGGACAATAAAAGACAAGAGGAAATCACTGTGCAAGAACGTGAAGTATCCATTGAGCAAAATGTGACTAATGTTGATAGTAACCGCTTAAACATAGCAGTTATAGAGACTAAAGCTATGGATGATGTAAGCACAAGTGATTTAGCCGAGGAAAGAAGTTCACCAGACACAGAGACAGATAAACCATTAGCTCATGATAGTAATGAGAAGAGTGAAGTTGAAATTCAGAAATCTGCAAACAACGAGATTAAAATGGACACTTGCGTCAAAGCAAAATCAACAGAAGTGCAAATCCCAGGCATAGAGCAAAATACTAATGAGCAAGATGAAATAAAAACAACAAAAGCAAGTCACATTGATGAGAAAAGTGATAAACCTAAAGCAGAGCAAGAAAATATGCAAAAGAAAGTTGTGCCCAGAACGACTTTGAAACCTAAAGTGGGATCATGGTCCAAAGGGATGAGTCCTTTATCAAAGCTTTTCACATCCAGTGGAAATAATAAGGCTGTTAAAGCTGACGCTGCGGACGTTAAAAGATCAGAGGTAAAACAATCTGGGGGGATCTTAGGGAAACTATTTCAGGCACCAGTCAGTCAAAAAAACCAGTCTGCAGAATCTACAGAGCAGAATAAAACCAATGAAACCAATGAATGTAAGGAAAGCAAAGATGGTGCGGTGGAGATGCAGACAGATGTTCTCATAACAGAAAAAACAACTAATGCTGAGCAACCAAAACAAAACATTCTTCAAAATATCAGTGAATCTATAGACAATAATGAAAAAGATGAAGATATACAAAGTGATTCAGATAATATGCTACCCAATTCAAAATCCATCATGGGAAATGCTGATGAAATGCAAGACCAAATGAGCCCGACTTCAAACAGGGATTTTTCAGAGGGTGGTCCGAGTAATTTGGCCGCTGGTGACCTTTTTGGCGATGAGGAACCAAACCCATTGCATACAATAAATGCCAATGCAATCATAGTAAGTAATGACAGTGAGACTGAAAATGTACTTATAGTTGACAAAGTTGAAGAGCACTTTAGTATTTTCGATCAGACTCAAAATATTTTCGATGACATTGTACCGAATTCCACATTGGACAACACAGCAACAGCAGAGGCACAGTCCACGCAAGAACATATTTGGAGTCTTGTCAATGAGCCTTTTATGCCAGATCAAAGTGTGGCAAAAAATAATGACATCTTAAACAGCTTGAGCACAGATGATACTGATTTTAACTTTGATTTGTTTGTATCCAATAATGATTCCCTTGGCCAGCCCTCTGCAGTCACTGAAGCACAGACTAAAGCTAGTGCCCTCTCAGATGACATATTTGGATTAAGTGATTTTCAAAGCAGCAATGATCATAAAGAACCAGCTAATGAGGTCGTTGCTTCCTCTTTATCCTTTGAGGGTCTGGACATTTTTGCTTCTGATCCAGAACCCTTTTTTTCTCAATCAAATGATGATGTGTCACAGCTATTCGAGGCTTTCAGGCCACAAACGCAGAATCAGGAAATGGACAAAACTTCAGGCAACTGGATGAATGATTTACTGGGTTGAAAATGTTGGTGGCACACATAATCTGTTCTCATGTTTTAACACATTGGTCATACCAATACGGTATGACAAATTTGATTTGTTTTACATTTTACAATGGAACAGCTTTATTGAAATTGTCCGATCTAAAACATTTGTGGTGGACAGTCTGGCACCGTGTTTTTTTATTGCAAAGCTGTGAATTTCCATGAAATTAGCATTTATTCAGTTTAAAGTGTGTGTTTGCTAAAAATCACTATGATTAAAATGCATTTCCATAATCAACAACCAAAATAGTTGCATCTTTAAATAATGTTTTTGTCATGTGTTTAATTCATGTTTCATAGATCAAATGTCTTGTTTATGTTAATGTGATCCTTATCACGATTTGAAAAAAAAAAAAATGAAATAAACCACAACTGCTTATACATGTTCCATCCATCCGTCCATTTTCTTCCCCTTAATCCATTTCTTGGTTGAGGGGGTGGCAGTCATTCAGCCAGCTGCATCCAGTACACATAGCACCAGACCCTCACTGATCCTCCTGCAGGTGGTGAGTCCACAGGAGGATGGCTGTTCAGTGACATCACAGCCTTGATCTTTCAGCGGGGGCTTCAGACAAAGTAGGGTCAAGTGGCTTGCCCAAGAACACAACGACAGCAGAAGTTAGAGGGAGTCGGTGGTGGCTTCGAACCAACGACCTTCAGGTCAATGTTCTGCCAACTGCGCCACTGTCACCCCTGTTTTTACATGTTTATAATTTTTGGTTAAGTTCTTAAAACCCTGCGTCCTATACAGTGATGCAACCAATATATGGAGTTTTCTCCATGAGTTTTCTATGTAAGTGTAAGCGACTTTATAGTCTTATACTTGTGCGCATGCGTGTTACCTTGTGACCTATGTTTCGCGGGCTTTTTGTTCTCTATAAATAAACGGGGACCTCCGTTTTTGAGAGAATCTTCAACTACAATTTACCTCTATCTGTTTCAATCATCCCTCTCCCGTTTGGTGAACCCCAGAGACACCGACAATAATCTGGACTCAGCTGCCGTGACCAGTGCAAAGAAAAATGCAGGGAAAATGCACAGAAATACACAGAACGGATTAGGGCTTTGTCAGAGCAGAGAACTTTATCAACTTATCATTTTGACTCCAAATGTTAATAACGATGCGACGTGTATTATGAAAATATTGTCAAATAATTGGTAAATGAGTCTCGACATAGGAAACTAACATTTAAGGTAAGCATATTCTAATGTGAGTGTTATTCACCTTTAGTATTGATCATCACGAGTCAAAACCATGGATCTATAATTATAACGTATGCGGTGATAAACTGCTTTCGTTTGCACTTTATACATAGATCCTCGCAACAGTCCAGCAAGGGCTGTAATCAAACTAACTAGAATAACATAATGCACTATTTCAAAATAAAGATAGTGACCAGTAAACAATACAGCAGAATGCGTCAAACTTCTTTTTTTCTTTTTACCATAAATGTGTAGATATGGTAGATATATACAAATATAGGGTACAGTTCAGTAATAAAAAACCTACACGATATGAAGTGAGAGCAAATACAGTAGATTTGGGGCAGTTCTGAACAGAAGATGGCGCTGTTCATTCACTCAATGCACAACCCTCACAGAAAAGTGTTATCCAACAGTGACTCTAGACTCTGGTGGATTTCAATTCAGAAAATTTTGAAATATCCATGTGTTGTATTTTGGAGCGTTTTTCTCTGTAAACAACATAAATCAGATACAAAAACATAGGTACATTTAAATTAATGTAAGCATTTAAATTCTCACCTTTGCCCCACATCAGCAGTGGAGTCTGGCAACTCTCTTTTTCTGGTCTCCGGCAGCAGAAACCCCAGAGCTCCACTCACAATCATGAAGGAACTGTAAACTGCAATGGGAACGAACCAGTGGTACGTGACCAGCATGTTGACCACTGGAGAGAGCAGGCCTCCGGCACGACTTGCAATGTTGCCCAGACCAGATGCAGTCTGTCTGAAACACACATTCTGTAAATTATCTCAATGTACCACATATGGACCGCAGTGGAGAATTACCGAAGGGATGTTGGGAAGAGCTCCTGGACATAAACACTGCAAATAGATCCCGCCATGTTTGAAAAAATACGTCCCAATGTTGCAAAGAAAGTAACAAAAATAGCTTTATCTGAAAGACAAAGTTTAGTTTTTTTAGATACATGATTTATACACTGCAAAACAATACAATGCAAATGGGAACAGGTGTTTTACCTTGACCCACTGCGATGATGAGCAGACTCGTGAGACCTCCTCCCATCAGTGTGGTTATGAGGCACACTCTTCTCCCCAAAGCCTCCAGCAGCCAGATACACAGCAGGTGTGCAGGAATCTCGGACACACCAAATATGAGCTGTGTCAGGAAAATGTCCAGGCCCAGGTTCCCAACGTTAAACGAGAGGCAATAGTATGTGAGGTTTAGGGAGAACCTAGAGAAACGTGAGGGTTATTGATTCTGTATGACTGTGCAGGTTTTGAGTCAAATGTGCAGTAACTCTCCAAGCCATAACTACTGCAAAAAGATACTTTGTGAGCGCAGTTGATTTGAAAATAGTTAATATGGCTCCTTTTTTTCATTTTTTGTCACAACCTGTAATTAATAGGAAGTGGACATAAGACATAATAAGTGAATGCTTAAAACATCCGCTTACAAAATTAAAGTCTGAACATTTGCAAAACGATCGCAACGTCACTTAATTATTGAAGACCCTTTCATAAAAAGCTTAAACAAAGATCTACTGTACAAGTGTTGGGAGATTGCACTTATGTACGATGGGCAACTGGGGGAACATTTAGGAGCACTGCTGAGCTGACTCATGTGAGCAGCAGAATCCTGCACATGTCCAGTAGAATTATAATAATCGAGGTGTGTGTAATGCAATCTTTGACCTTACAGAGGAATCTTAGCTGAGAGAAACTACTTTAACAGAGTTACTCCAGTAAAAGTACACTGAACACATGCCACAATTTCCATGTATTTGTTACAACCTTGTTTCACACTTCTGGGGTTTAAGTGGTGCAGTGTTGATGCTCCAAACTTAGTGTTATTACTCTGTGTAACAATGACAATAAATCTGGACTTTTATGAGGCGTCAGAGGCCATCATTTGGCAGCATAAATCAAAATGGTCTGCCATGAATTATGCCATAAAACTGATAGTTGGGTCTCATATTTCTGTAGACCTACTTTTTCAAGCAGAGACATTGGGACGACACCTTTGTTGATGGCTGCTGCTTTTGTTAACACCTCATGAGCCTCTTTGACCCGTCCACTGTCCAGCAACCACCGGGCTGACTCTGGAATGTACCTGACAGAAACATATAAGATAATTATACTCTTTACACATTCCAAAACATACAATAAGGAGTGCACATTAGACACACCAAATGTAAACTGACACAATTCCCAGAGGAGCGGCAGTGATGAGCTGAGCCAGTCTCCAGTCTCTGATGAAATAGATCAGTCCAGCCAGGACACACAGACCCAAGGCAAAGAAAACCTGAGACAAACAGGCACCCCAGGACCTTTTGGAGATGCCAATCCACTCTGTGGCTATAGAAACAGAATATCCCATTACAAAAGTAGTAAGAACCAACAACTTTTATAAGATGGAGGCCAATGTTACCTAGTATTATGGCATTCATCCGAAACCCTCCATAGCCGACTCCTACAATAAACTGGGACACCAGATACAGGCGGAAATCATGACTTAGCCCTGTTACAGCAGTAAACAAGAACATGAGAACTCCTGGAATCTGGGTGGCTCGTTTACGTCCAAATCTGAGACACAAGTGCAGAAACAACAATGATATAAATAAAATCAAGCATCAAATATTCTATCAACATTGTAGCATCAACAAGCTGGACATGAGGAAACTCAAACTTTCAGTTCAATTTCAATTTTTTGAATATGACTTCAAAAGTCTCTACATCTCTGATCAGTGTTGCCCTTTTAGATAGTCTGGGTGGACAGCTGTGTCTTGGTAGGTTTTCAGGTTCTTGGGAAATGCTTTGAAGTTCTCCAAAAAATAACAATTGTAAAGCACTTTGTGACTCTGGTCTGTGAAAGTAGCTATATAAATAGATTACTTACTTACTTACTACTTACTTCACCATTTGAGCATTAAAACATAAATACTGTAATAATAAAAATCAATCTTTGTTTGAGGTCTAATGAGATAAAAGTTGAAAGTTACTCCAACAACGTTCAATTGATATTCTGGAAACCCTGACCCTAACACAAGACTTTTAAATGAACCCTATTAGACTATGAACTGAATGTTTTTGTTACACCTGTAAACAAATGAGAGTAGATTAGGTGAAAACAGCTGCTTGTCCCCATGGAGATCTTTTTTTTGGTTTGTGCATTCAAAAATAAAATGCCAAACCTGTAAATTACAAAGCAGGATCCTGACACAAATGTTTGCAAAAAGACTTACGATTCAGCGAATGGTCCAAATAAAAGACACCCAAAAAGCACACCAGCCATAATGACCGTCTGGGCCACCTGTATTAGACTGGACGTCCCACAGACTAAATCAAACTGTGAAGATACACATTTACAACATTAAGGACAAGACAATTCAATAATGTATTTAACTTTGAGTCTCCGCTTACATCAGTAACTATAGTGTTTTCATATATGGAGTTTTTATACACCCATCTTTTCTCACACACAGCAGTCTCGTTCAGCCCGTAGGTCCTGATGCTTTCAATGTCTCTGTCCACAGGGGTAAACATCAAACACCGACTGAAGGTTCCATCCTCTTCACGTGGCAGAGTGAGGTTAAGCTGCTCCTCAAAGGTCAAGTTTGGCTCAGCTCCCAGTATCCAGTTTGTGTTGCAGTGTCTCTCAGGGTCAGATTCAACAAAAACCACAGACGCGAAGTGAAAAGGTAGGATAATATTTGGAAAACACAGGGCAAAGAGGCACACTTTCTGAAACAATCCAAACTCTCCAACACTTTGCAGTATTTTTCCAAATTCTGCCATGATTGAGGAGACGAGAGGTAGTGTCCAGACTCCAGCACGTCTTCGGAGCTTTTATACGATGTCCATTAATGTTTAAACCCTGCTCTTCACTTTTCAAGAATCATGAGACAGCTGATTTAAAAAAAAAAATCTCCCAACTGTCTTGCATCTGGCTTTCCCTGTGCTGTATTTCAAAGTGCCCTTTACTAGAGAGAGATACTCGGGAACAGTGCATTTTATGCAAGCTCCACCTGCTCAAAAGACCTCCTGAGAAGTCCTGTTTTATGTTACAAGAGTAGAAAAAACCAATACAATCTTACATAACAATTATCTCTGAACAAAGACGTCTCAGTATCAAGTGCTTACAGTACTACCTACTTTTATGGCTCTGTTACTGCTCTCTATAAACTTTTGTTACACAAAGCCCTGAACTTTAACATTGAAAGTCACTGGTTTTTACTTTTCAAGCTGTTGGATAAAAATAATGTTGAATGAATGGGTTTTTAGGGTTACAACTTAGCCTACATACAGATACCATTGGGAATTTATTTTATATGCTGTTACCATACTGTCTGAGCTTGCAAGACCAAATGTTTAAATAAAAATAAAAACATGGACATAAATTCTACTTGTTTGATTAGATAAAAAAAAAAATACTCTCCGACCAAATAAACATAAACTAAACGCAATTGTGAGTAGTGACTTTGACAAGACACCGTTTGCAACTTGACTTGGGTTGAAGATGAGTCACATGAAACACAGTGGGACTTTGTATTGTTTAAAAAACTGATTATGTCACATGTAAATTTGATGTTTGACCATACTCTCACTTTCTCTTTTTAGTTGTTAGCTCAACTGCTTTGGAAAACTGCACTAGCCTCATTTGGCTGAATTCTTGGCAATTTATGTTTCATTACTGTTTAGACCCTATACATAGTTCCCACATGACGTCACTACATACGGGGATTTGCCGACCCGGCGCCATTTGTGTTGGCATTCTGTGGGCAAAACAATAGAAAAAGAAGCTGAAACGTGTTAATGTCGTGATAAAGTTGAAAATGGTCATCTCCTGCTGGGTCAATGGATGTTCAAATCGTGCCGGAGGTTCCGTTAAACTTGGATTTTACAGTATACCCATCATTAGACTTCATGAATGTGAGAAGACTAAGCTTTTGTCAGAACTACGACGGAGGTTATGGCTTGCGAAGATAAACAGGCAAGAAACTCCCTCAAAACACGCAAGAATATGCTCGGAGCACTTTGTGTCAGGTGCGTATCGTATCTCATAATGTGTTGACAGACGTAATTTACTCAGTACTAACTTGTGTATGCTGATATCTGGTAACTTGAGAGCATGGACGTCGGAACTATTTTCTGAGAGGGGGGGCGGGTTTTTGTTGGGAGAGTCGAGGGAGAGACTCATACTTGGATTACACTGGATAATAACATACCATCTTAATTGTTAAGAAAAACAAAAGAAACAATATATATCAAGGAAGTCACTTATCAAACTGAACTTTTTTTTTTTCAATACGCATTCATGCGTCAGTCTCTCCGGTGGCTTCATTGTGTTGTGTAGCCCAGTGACGTGCGGTCAGATGAGGCAGGCAAGGCCCTCACCTAAGATCATAGAAAGAAAAGTAATAAAATGGATACAATAATGTTTGGTCACTTTATCAAGTGATTTGTGCTGTGCCTTATTTCATTTATTTATACCTTGAAATCGCAGATTTGACAGAGCGGTGCTGTGAGGCGAGCCTCTCTTGGGAGACGTAAAAAGCAACAGCTCACAGGGAGAGTCCTGTGAGGTGCTATCAAACTGTTTTCTCTGTTTATCACAGTTTAAAAAGTTCAAAAATATTTAATTTACAATCAACATGTTTACATTTAAGAGGATGGCTCATAAATTGTGTTTTTGAAGCAAATATGGGTCTTAATCGCGCTCAACCACAGCTTGTAAGTGAGGAAAGCCTCAAGGGGGCGCTTTTGAGCCCAAACTTTGGCTGCATCCAATTCCATCAGAAAGCTCCTTTCTTGTTCTTCTTCTGCTAAGGGCAGCTACAGGTTTGGCTAACATACCTATAATACATTTTAAGATAATTTAAAATGCACTTAGAGTAATGTTTTGCTTCCAATGATGATATGAATCATAAGAAAAGGAGGTGAAGGGTAAGGTTGAATTTAGAAATTGGATTTACCCGGGAGTCGGCTGCAGCAAAACTTTTTTTACTTTTTAAAACTCATTGAACTTATTTCCAAATGGAGGATTACATGTCTGTGCTCAAACTATTATCTGGACTTAAACATGAAACTGGTCCTAACTGAAGTGGTCTGTGCTGTTCATTAATACCTAAGGTATAGGCCCATAACACACTTTGTACTTTTTACAAACGTTTGCGTTTTGTATGAGAAAACAATGCAGACATTAAATCATATTCTGCTGTAGCCAAACAAATTGTGTATAAGCCGCTCCTGTTCCTGTAGGTCCTGTTGGTTTATATGATGTATAATCATATGAACACATGATTGATCCCCCACCGCACGTCACTGGTGTAGCCAGGTCTTTAATCTGCGCAAGGCTGAGAAAGAGCGCTCAGAGGCTGCGACAGATATTAGCCAGACAGAGCTTCATGAGCTTCTCCGACAGCATGGAGCGGGTTTTGGGCTGCAAGGAACGCAGGATAGTGATAACTTCTCGCTCCCGGCACACGCGGAGGGGGTGCGGCCGCACCCCCCGCACCCCTAGTTCCGACGTCTATGCTTGAGAGTTTCATTATTTAGATTACTTTATTATGAGGAGGATCGGTGTCGCGTCCGAGGCTCTCGAGGGCAACGTAAATGTATTAAATAGATAATAATAGTTCTATGGTGGGCTAAAACAATGTTCACAAACAGCATTGCTTCTGTAAAAAGATCTGTGTCATAAAATAAACTGCTCTTTACGCCTGGAAAAATCAGTTGCCCACCATTCACCAAAACATACGGTCAAAAACGCGGAAATAAACAATAACAGCAATCCAGAGTGTCCGTGTGGCATTAGCATTAATTAAATTAATTGTTAATATAATTAAAATAATTAAATGGAGCTCCAACTGGTATTAAATCTAAAGTTTTTGAGAAATGTTTGCATTGCTTGTTAATTTTTGCTGCATAATTTGATCAAATATGTAAAACATGTCCGTAGCACGTTAAACTGTGGTGCCATTGTATTAATATACAATTATTTGCTCAAAAGTTGCCCTTTTTTTCCAATTTGCGTTTGAATATCTACATTTATTCTCATTCTTCTGTTTAATGGAATGCACAAACACAGCAGCGTGCCATCAAAGATGGCGTCTCCGAGGAAGTCATGTGACATTCATTGGTCTGTGGGAACTATGTATTTAAAAAGGCTCATATTACGTACCGCCTGTACAACAGATCTGTCTGAGCTAAACGTGTGCACTTTATTACTATAGTAACTTCTATGATTATGTATTGATTGATGTTTGTGCGGACGAATGTATTTCTGCTGCTGGACACCTGAACTTCTCCAACAGGGATCAATAAAGTATCCTTCTATCTTAAAGTAGTAGCCTATTTACCAAATTTTAAGAACAGCACACTTTGTACTGCTGCTGAACTCGGGATGGAATTTGGAAAAGACTTGAGGAGCGTCAAATATATCTTGCTTGTTCAAGATTTCAATCCAGCTCGAAGCAATGCCCCCTTCCTCACTTCAGCAGAGTATCTGACCCTGAAACCCAACAGGGCCCATTATGAAAATCTTTAGAACCTTTATGAAATCTTTTCTACATATTTTCCAACAAACTGTTTTAAGTTTTATCCTGACTCAAGAAATCATTCAAGGCAGCTGCCAAAACCTTAATATCGGGCATTAACCAGATTATCAATTGGCAGCAATCAGGCTGGGAAACTAGTGTGTGATGTACAAAAAAGTATAAATACATATATATAAATTTCAAAATCGATATTTTATCCATTTTAAAAATGTTGACATTTGTCTTATTTTAAGAAATCGTATTTATAGTAACTTTTGGTTCCTACTGTTAAGAAATTGAAGTATTAGTTATTTGGAATAATAGGCCACCATCTACTGAAGTCTATTTAGGTGATAAAAGTATTAGCCAACATCCCAGTCCTCTTTACATGGTCTATCATTTAGTTTAGTTGGTTCAAACAGTTTGGATTAATAGAAACTTTTGTTGACGTTAATCTATAGATTTAAATGCAACACGAATATAAATCATGTTAAAGTAGACAATGATTATATCTGAACCAAAAACAGACAACAGGCCCCTGGTGTAGTAGTTTAAGAACAGGTATCAATAGCACTAATCATTTATTCTGTAAAATGCTGTTAGTGTAGCCACGGTTCCCTGGAACAGTCTGGAGGAAGCAAGACTACCCATCTGACGTCCACCAGTCAATCATTCATACACACACACACAAGCACACCAAGCAATAATAGTGACAACACAAAAAGAGCTTTACGTCCGTCCGTCTACCTACATATGCGAGTTGAAATAAAACATAACAAGATCATCTGTTTCTTATTTACAGGTAAAATTACTTTATCTGGACATGTACACTTCAACATTACACAAAAACCTCATGTGTTGGTGCGACAAAGCAGTTATAGACAGTTATGACATCTTTACATAAGTCGTTTACAATTGTACCTGAACAAAGGAGTTGCATTAGAGACAGCCTTCATGTGTTTTAACAGCCAAACTGGGAGGGAGATTGAAAGTGTTTTTATTAACACTTTGGTTAAGAGGCTATACTTGACTATGGCCAACACTGCAAAACGTAATGTTTAACCCCCAAAAAAAATGCAGAAACAGAAATAAAACAAACTCAAAAAAATAATGATTACCAATTTCATCACAATGCATATCCAGCTATATTGTTCCATCCAATTGTATCCAAATCACACGGCTGAAAAGTTTGTTCTTTCATCCATATGAAAACCATGATAATTTCATCAGTGCTGTTTAACTGGCTTCACATTTGTATAATTTTGGCGCAGTCAAATTGCCAAAACAGTTAAATTAATATTCTGCTATTTAAACAGCATATCCACAGCTGTTATCCCAGATCAAGGTGCAGGTCATGTGTTAGTAAAATAATGTAATTTAAGACTAATAGGGTGTGAGCATGCACTTCACCTCAGAAGTTCAATGGAGCTGCGAAGTAGGTGGGGCTTCCAGGTTTGGGTTGTAAAATTTCCCATTAGAAAACCCCATTGAGATTTCTAAAAAATTATGAAATTTTATGACTTGTTTGGGGCTAATGAAATATCTTCTTTTAAAGTATGTTTTTGAAACCTTTAAAACCACAAAGTGCTGAACACATTCTGCCAAGTATTTTTTTTTCCCTAAAACTACTTGGAAAAAGAGGCTGTCTTCTTGATAACTGAATATTTCAAAACGTCTATGAGGATTTTAAATGAGAATTTTGTCCACAACCTGTAAACTCCATAACTACCTTTATATCTAAAGTGTCCAAATCATCACTTTCTAACCCAACATTCAAAATGCTCTCAACTTTCCAAGAGCAAACAGGCACTCTCTCTCATTAGGTTGATCAGAGAAATATTCAGATATTTGTGTTCACAGAAAGCTGCATGTAGATCACTCATCCAAAACCTTCAATAATGCAAGCAGATATGTAAAAGTAAAAAAAAAAATCATCATCAGCCCCTAAAAGATGTTGCTACAGTCAGAAAAATGTACATAGAAATAATGAAAAATAACATTGCATAGTACAAGGATATGGACCTACAAACTGATTAACTATGTTCTATAGCCAGAAACCTCATGCCTGTTGATAACGGCCGGTAGATGAATCCTTTCCATTCTTTTACATGCACTGCAACGCTGCTCTCCATAAAGATACAATCGGCTTCATTAAAATCAGAGTAGAAATGCAAAGATCAGTAAATAAAAGTGACAAATGTGTGACCAATGGGTACAACTCAAGCAACACCCATCGAGTCAATCACACGGGTAAAATTTTGTTTGACTAAGGCGAATATTACACTTTTTAATCAGTGTAGAAAAAAGTGCCATAAAAAGCTGGCACGGTACTTGTGTGGCACTGTTTCTTTAAAAAAATAATAATAATAGAAAAAGAATAATAAAGGCAAACATCTCCCAGTACTCGTGGAAGATGGGTTGTGCTCTTGAAATAAAGGAAGTACAACAAAATAAAACAATAAAATGTGGATGTTAGTTGATTGCATCTCTCTCCCCTTTGTAAGCGCACTGCAAACGTTCAAGTGTGATTCCTGTTTTTGACCCAGGGTCCTGTCTGCACGGTCCTCAGACTGCCGTAGTGCCTCACTGCTGCCAGCTTTGTGAATTTGCTTTTCATCAACTCTTCACTCAACTCTTCGGCAGTCGTGTTTTCTGGGATTTTACTATAATGCAGTTGTGCAATACCATTGGCTACTGTCTGTGGAGCTGCTCAAACTTTAACTGATGCTGAGCTGTGCGAATCCAATGAGTTTAATGTCATCCGGGATCTCAGACTCTTCCACACCAGAGGCCTGTGCAACAAATCGAAGCAGTAATGAAATTATACCATCAAATTGTGAAATATCTATATATACCCATGTGATTTCCTGCTGTATAACAAATATAGACGAACCCTTACCAACTTGAATGTCACATTTTTGTTGCCGTGAGGATCATCAACAATCTTTTGCAAATTGGCAGCAACTGGAAAAGGAGAAAACAAAATATAAAGTGTAATTGAAGAGAGCAAAAATAAATCCAATACCATTTGGTTTTACATACCAATCACTACATCCTTTCCATCAACTAGTCCAGCAGAAACCAGCTCCTGGGAAACCCCATCAGCCGAGTCTGTACAATCACAATGTGTTACGATGTGCGTGTTATTGCTGTAAGAAAATAAAGAACAGGGGTTCTTGTACCTCTGCCTGGCATAAACTCAAAACGGATGTCATTCAGCTCCTTCTTGGGATTCCTCAGTCTGAGCACAAGGCTGATTGAAACACTTGCATTTGCTGCATTTGGATCCTAAAGAAGCATGATTATTTAATCCAACATGGTCATAGTTACGTGTAAAAAGGGAAAAACAAAACAAATATTCTGGTTTTGGTCATTTCAACATTAATTTTCCAATGTATTTTTTTCCCCTAAAAATGCAAACTATAGTCTCAGGAGTTTAAGGAACTCATTAAGATGACTTACCTGAGAAATGGGAACATGTAACGGACTTTGAGTGTTTGCAGGAGTCTGTGGAGCCAGAGGAGGAGTGTCCTCTCCAGACTGTCCTGCATTCATAGGACTCTCATGAGTTGGACCACCGGGCTGTAATAGGCCAGTGGTGCCATCTGCTGGCGGCTGGAAAATCTAGGCATAAGGTGCAGTGAATCAGAAACTCAGTGTTGGTGTAAAATGCCACTGCGAGAGGCCGCAAGACAGTCATGCAGATCAGATTGTAAGGGATTTCAGGTCATGTCCACTACGATGTCACTCACCTCCGTGTTCTGGGAGCCGTCCTTCACTCTGGGAGACTGCAGATTGGACATGACAGACAGATTGTGAGGATTATAACATGCAGATCCACTTTATATCCCCCACAACCCAGACCAGAAAGAGTAATAAATTAAAAGTATTAAATTCAAAAGTACAGCATATAACAAGATCACATAAGATAGTATATTACACACCCAAACATGAATTATTCTCCGAAACAAACATTGACTTAAAATGAGAAAGGGGTGGTTGCCATTCATACTACATCAGCTGTAAAGATGAAATAAGTACTTTGTGAATTGTCAATCAATCGAGTCCGACTGTAGGACAACAAATTAAAACTAGCTACATAGCTACAATTGTGTGTATTTACAGCTCTTGCTGTTCATTAATACCCACTGTCCCATCCAAATAAAAAAAAAAATACAAAATAAAAATCCCTGTCAGTATTTTATTTTGTCAAAAATAGAAAATAACAATAAGTAAGGTTAACAGCACTAGTAAATTATTGTCAGGACACAAATTCATGTGTATATTTTCTATTTTAAATACTTGGTCTTTTAATTAATTTTGGGGAAAAACGCTTTCTTTGGCATCCTTGCACTTAAAGTGTTTATTTGTATAAAACAAAGGCCAAATCATGGTGTAGTCTCACCCTCAGAGCAGCGACTGCAGCTTTGCCCTCCTCACTCTCCTCGTCCAGCTCATCATCACTCCACTCCCAGCCACCATCCTCCGTTTTATGGAGGCGGCCACTAGAGCCTGGTACACGACGCACCTAAAAGCAATAGCATATTCATTTCTGAGTCATAATACATAGAACTTGATTATGTATTCATATGTTACATATCCTGAAAACTGACCTTCTTTGATCGCTCTGTTATTGTTGGCCCTTTATAAAGAAGCCTTTCCTGCAAGTACTCATTGTTCTGCAACACAAAAAGAAAACACATTTCAGCTAACTGAAAAAACATGTAAGTTTACTTAAAAGTAAGAAAAAACGTACCTTCGCTTTTGTGAAGAATTTGTGCTTTAATAACTCTGCAGCTGTCGGTCTAAAAACATGAAGTTGGCGATAGTTTTTGATTTGTTAAAACACTGTATTCATATAAATTGATCAACATTAGCTTTATGTGCATACCTTTTTTCTGGATCCTTTTGTAAACACAATGAGAGCATTTTCCTGAAAGATTTGCCATACTTCTTTACCATTTCCTTATCTGTGATTCCAGTCTCAAGGCAAGGAGGATCATTCTGCAATGTAAGCATTAGCACCTATAAAAGAGAAAAACAAATTGATTGTTAGAAAAGAAATTGTGACATTTTCCAAATACATTTTTCTTACCTTCATGGGTGGGTATTTGTGATATGGTGCAGCTCCGGTTGCTAGCTCAATAGCAGTGATACCAAAACTCCATATGTCAGCTTTAAAGTCATAACCACGCACCTTAAGAAACATAAATTAGGATTTGTGCCAAATCATTCGAGCCAAGAGTAAGAATAGTCTCTGACCTGCTCCATGACCTCAGGTGCCATCCAGCAGGGTGTACCCACAAAGGTTTTACGAACTTTGTTCCTCGTCATATCTCCTCCGGCTGCTAGAAAGGCACTTACACCAAAATCTAAAGAAAACAACATTTGTTAATAACATCAATTAATAATACTACCAGAGAGTTTAGTTAAGAAGTGGTAAATCTGGTACCAGCAATTTGCACAGAGCCATCCTCCCCAAGCAGAATATTTCCAGCTTTTAAATCCCTATGGACAAAAGTAAAGAGTGGATTAAAATGTGATGTAAAATTACAGGCACAGGACTTCAGCACCGGAGGAGTGGCTTGACTAAGAGCAACTACTTGCTATTGCACAGAAACTGATCAAATCAGCAGTATCTACTTTGTCTCAACACAAATCCGAGTCACATAGATAAAATATAGTTAGACTGTTATCTAAAACCACATGGGTATGGTAGTAGAAACTAAATTGTTCTCTTGCTAGTACTGCACTAAAAAGATGAATAAGTCAAATTAGTGATTCAATGGAAAGCCTCACCGATGGATCTGCCCATTTTTGTGAAGATACTCCAGCCCTTCAAGAACCTCTTTTAGAATACTAGCAATGCTGGCCTCATCCAAGACACCAGTCTTGTGCTCACCACGAGAGATGATATGTTTAATAATGTCCAAAACAGACCCTGAAAGGTTATAAAATTAGAATACAGGGTGTCTAAAGAGAATAAAATATTTCAAACCACTTACCACCACTGAGCAGCTTCATCACAAGCCATAGTTCATCTTTCACCACAAATGAAGTATAGTATGACACAATATTTGGGTGGTGGCACTGACTCATTGCTTGAATCTCTTTCTGAAATGACATATTCAAACCTGAATAAGTATATGTTTACATATGTTTCTTTTTTCCTTTTTCTTTTTTAAATGCATTCCAAAGGCCTTACCAGGAGTTCATCCATGCTTGTTTGACATTTTTCCAGGTTGATGCGCTTGATGGCGACTTTCTCCTTTCGGGGCTTGCAGTAGGCTGCCTGGACCACTGCTGTAGCGCCACTCCCTGTCATAAGAATTACCCCCCACAGTTACGAACTAAACCAACAAAAACCATGCCTCAATAAGTATATTATAGCATTTTTTCATTATCTCAAGAAGTAATAAGAGCTTGCATCCTAATGCGTCTGGATATGTTAAACACAAGAGAAAACTCGTTGATTACAACGGCATTGAACATGATCACAAAACAATGGGATGGTTTTGGACAGACTTGACAGTCAGAGATGCAAGACAATATGCTCACATTGCCACTGCTAATCGAGGTTAGCAGCCAATATCTCCTGGGTGACACTAACAACGATATGTTTAAGCATGAGTAAACACCTCACACAGACACGCTTGGTTTATAATGATGGCTATTACCTTTACGGCTGTAGTATTAGAGTGTGATGTGGCCACGTATCTGAACGTACACTTGTAGCGACAGACGATAAGTGCTAACAGCAAGTAGCAGTCGGCAATCGACTGGAGAAATGTAATGTGCGGCTACGGAGCTAACATTAAGCTAGCGGCTAAAGCTACTCACCAATAACCTCGTTCAGTTCATAGTCATCTTTGTCGATAGACCAGGATTGAGATGCCTGATCTTCTGCCATGATGTCGCAGTTTGTTCGAAGAATGCTACAGGTGAAAATAAGATGATCTCTATTTTAATGTCTTACTCCATTGGGCTCAGATGCTGCTACTGACAACTCCGACCGCCGCTGTCAACACAACTACGCGACGCAGCTCACGTACAGTACGTAACAGGCGTAGGGCAAGAACCGTGTTGTCGCCATCTTCCGGAATAGCGAGAGAATGCATGCTGTCAGGAATCAGCATTGATGCAAGTCAGTCAGGCGTTTTTAAAAAGACTTTTGAGTTTTGTTCACCTAGACAAGATTGAAAATCACAAATCATATTATCCAAATTGTTTCAAGAAGGAATGTGAGAAGGCTCAAGAGAGGATTATGTTTCGATGAATAACACTCATCATGGCATGGGTATGTGGAAAGAGTTGGCAAGTTCTAACTTGTGGCCCCAACAACCTACAGTCAATTCATCAACAAGAGAACACATTCGCAATTTACTGATTTATTCTGAATTGTAATCAACTTTAAAAAACAAAACAAAAACATATGTATACATACATATGTATATGTACATGTATATATGTACGTATATGTATATATATATATATATATATATGTACGTGTATATATATATATATATATATATATATATATATATATATATATATATATATATATATATGTACATGTATATATGTACGTATATGTGTATATAATATATATATATATATATATATATATATATATATATATATATATATATATATATATATATATATATATATATATATATATACACACACATGGAAAGTCATCCTCATATCATATTGGAATATAAATATTAAATATGTTAAACAAACAAGTTTCCATCTAGGTGAGAAAACAAGACAGAAATAAGACTTAAAATCATGTTGTCATGTGACATAGCCAAAAGTAACAACATTAGCACATAAAATGAATGTTCTTTTTTTTTTTTTTTTTCATCTCATCTCTATGTAAAAAAATACAATAAACTAAAGCCATTCCTCCCTTTCCTTTACCTATCTCATATGTACCCATAGACCAAATATGAGCGGCTGTCTCTTGCCCGGATGCTATGGACTGCTTCTGCATCAAAGCTCACTCATCCTGATGCTGACAGGGCACTGCAGTCTAAGCTAGCTCTGAAAGGGAAGTGCTGAGAGCCACAAGAGCCAGAGCACCACAGTGATTGCAGTACTATTATCCCACCAAGGCTGGACTGGTCATGAAAAGGACAGCAAACACTTCATGCATTTCCCCCCTCCCTTCAGTGTAACCAATATGCTCAAAGTCATTGTGAGCTATGTGACTGGGCAGCAGGCCAACTCAACCTGACAACCATATTAAACTGTTTAAATTACTAAAAAAATAAATAAAAAAGATCTATTGCAAGCAACATAAAGCACAAGTTGAGTATCTGATTTATGATGGTGAAAAAGATAAATGTCAGTCTCTTCATCTAATTCACATGTTTCATATTTGGAAGGAATTAGCTGTAATTGGTTAATTCGTGTTGGCGATTTGAAGAAAAGGAACAATTTGAGTGTTCAGTTCTGTGTGTCCCAAATAGGTGGCTGGGACCAGGGGCTATAGGACCAGCCCAGACTCACAGGTGAACCCAGCCCAGTGGGTGTCCTGTAGTGACATCACACACACGCAGCTTGTATGGCAGAGCTCGTCAAACCGGTGTTGAGGCTCGTACCATACACTGCAGAGGAGGGATCCCACCACAGCTGGTGTGGGGCTTTTCCAATAGACTACTCTGAAAGACTTGAGCCGCGCGTATGGAAAGAAGAAACTACATTGAATAAGTAGAAATAGGAAGTAAACAGAAAAAGAGAAGAAAGAAGTTGTTTGCCCACGAAGAGCGATGGAAGCCAACATGAATGAGAGACAACCAGGTAGGACACATTTTAACACTTCGCTTAAACGATTTGACTGTAATACCTGCGTAAAGACTGGCCCAGGAGCCCGTAGTTTAATCAAGGTCACCTGCACAGTAATCCGATGTCTTCACTTGTTTGGGGCTGGAATAGGCGTCGCCTGGAATGCTTGACAGCGTTTTACGAGACTTTGTTGGATTTTATTAACTTAACCTAAATCAGTGTTTTATAAACTTCATCAGAGGCCAAAGGCGTGGCCACCCGCATCCTGGGCATTTTTACCTGCACTGATTGTGTTACTCAATCAAAGCAATGCAAAGTTGGCAACAAGTTTGTTAAGCTGGTCAACATAACTAACAAACACTCTATTTAAGTTAATACTTTAGCGCAATTGCAAGGGCCAGGGTAACATATGGAACTGCGACACACAGTGTAAAGATGATCGAGGACTAAAGTAAAACATGCAAATAAGACCAGAGTGCAATACTGTCGTCTACCACTAGATGGTGCTTCAGCCAGAGTTTATTCCCCCCAAAAACCCTAAATTTTAATAATTGATCTTATAAAGAGGTTCTTCCATGTTTGGCTATAGTTAGTCGTTTAGTTGTAGAAAAAGTATTTTCAAAACTATTCCTGAAACAGATCACCAGTAATAACATAAAAAGGTAAATGTATCTTGCCACTGCTGTAAACTATTGTTTCACAGTTTAATTCAAGACTAGCTAAGCAAACGACTACTATATACTAATACTGTCAAGACTTACTAAACTGTAAACGGTTGGTTAACTGCTTACAAGCTGTGAAATAGCTAATCTATATTTTTGTTTAAGCCATTTACACATTTTTTGCTGGAGTTCCGAGGAAAAATACGCGATATCACGCCTTAAGCTAACGGAGTAAATTCCAACTAATTTAAGGGGTAGATTAAAATCCAAGACAACATTGGACAACCCTGAGTGAACTTTGCCCACGAGTCAGGATCCGCCTTGGCTGATATTTACAGTCTATGGGCTGAGCACACACTCTGTGACTGCTCCTCAGACCGACACGATGAGCTGCTTACAAAGACAGGAGCGCCCAAAGCCCTCTCAGGGACATCACCATGCTGCGAGCAGGAAAGTCATACAGATGAATGTGAAGCTTCTAGGTATGACGCTACGGGTCATGGAGCAAGGAAAACCACTGTGAAATGAAAGTAATAAAAGCTATTCGTTGTCTTTTGCAGGTATGGAGGGAGATACAGACCTACAGTTCCTACTTCAGGGTGGAGACCTCCTCAAAGTTCGATCTCAGTCTTGGAAGAAGACGCGATACTTCAGGCTTCAGGAGGACTGTAAAACCATGTGGCACGAGTCCAAGAAACCATTCAGGAGCAACCCCACCTGTGAGTGCCACACAGGCCCGTCCCAAGAGGGGTGCGAGGCCCTGTGCGAACTCGAAACGCGAGGCCCTGCCCTGACACTTTTTTCCCAGATCTGAGGAAAGTTTTTCCTGTTATAATCTTTGACATGAATTCAGCACCACCTCGCGCGGTGCTTGACGAGATCAGCACGCGTGTAACCGAGTGTCTTCGCTCCTATGCAGCGTTTGGCGCGCGCACGTACACACGCACACACACTCTACGTGCAATATTGGTCGCGGTCTTTTTAGCTGACATGTCTCTTTCGTCCTGTGGCAAAATGGTAGAGCAACTCAAAAGATTGAACCAAAAGGAGTCTTTTTCTTCTAATAGTTAGATTTTGGCAAAATGCGCCAAAATGGCTATGAGGCGGAGTCAATATTATTTTTTTCTCATCAAATAACGTTTTTGCCATGCCTCCACACACTCTGACAACATACACTCCTCCTCCACACTGACAACAACAAAATACTCTTCACCTCCTCCTCCACACACTCTGACCACAACAAAAACACTCCAGCTAGCTAAAGCTAGACATACAGTGTGTTTGCTAATGCTTTTAAAAATATGTTTTTGATGTGGATATTCGGACTAAACATTGGCAATAGCAGCGCTCACACACCTGTCACACGCTGATCTCCTCCTCCTCTGCTCACACAAACCGCTCACACTGTCTCACTGCTCCTCCTCCTCCTCCTCCTCTGCTCACACAAAGGGGTCTGCTCCTCTGCTCACACCTGTCTCACTGCTCCTCCTCCGCGAGTATCCATCTCTCCTACACTGCGATCATTCCCGTTACTTTCTTTGTATCTCACTCAGACACTGCTAAAGTTATCTGACAGTTTTTTCGGAGGACCCGTTGCATACATAGCTGCCCGCGCGCCTGCCTGTTTACAAATCGCTTTTGGTGAAAATTTGACTTTACTTGTAAAAATGTTCTTTTGATCAAACGAAATCAAAGAGGTCCAGAGAAAGGGGTTTAGGGTTCCAAATTTGGAGTGCAGTCTGCCCTTTGGGGACCCTTGAACTAGTGTATTTATAAAATAAAATAAAAGGAAGGAAGATTGCGAGGCCCCTGTGTGGTGCGAGGCCCTGTGCGACGGCACAGGTCGCACAGCCCTTAGGACGGGCCTGGTGCCACACACGCAATTAATATGTACATTTACTTCAAATGTAAGAATTATGACTTATTTCCAAATGTCTTCAACAATATTATTTTATGCTATTCCTATGATCCTATAACAATAAAGTGTAAATAGTCCAGATTAAACTTTCCCCTGGGACTGTATCCAGAAAAACTGATATAATTGTCAATGTGTTACTACTACCATATAATTCCGCCGCTCAAACAATAGGCGCCGTTTCAAAAGGTGCCTAGATTTTATCTTTATTATTCTAGAGTCAGGGACGAATCAGTCAAAAAATAGAATACATCATTGTAATTAAAACCAATTAAAACTCCCAAACAGATTTGTGTTCATTAAATGCAGTCCTACCCTTCTGCTTCAGTTTCCTTGGATGACGTCTCTGCTTTACGTTTGGGCCGCCAGTCAGAAGGGTTAAAGAAGTACACAGAAGAACAGGTGGATGGACGCTGCTTCTCCATCGTCTTCAAAAGTCGGCGGAAAAACCTGGACCTAATTGCCAGTTCTGACGAGGAGGCAAAGCAGTGGGTCAATAGCATGGAGAAAATTATTGCCAATTTAAACAACCTAAACCGCCAGGAGAAGACCGAGCAGTATCCTTTAACTCAAGAGTTGACATGTCATGTTGGAGAAATATTTGTATTGGTTACACTTTCAAACATTGTCCTGTTCACCATTTTTATCCAAAAATATTAAACTGTTGGCGCAATTTAAGATTTTTATATCATAAGATAATGCACTCGACATAGAAAATATTTCAGTCAAAAGCGAACATGTCGACCTTACTGATAACTTTGCTATAAACTCAGGTTTCTTACTCACAATCTGCATGCAACAAGGAAGTCGTTTGAATTGAATATTCTCAGGTGATTCTGACATGTGCCTTACATGAAACATTTAGTTGGATCATGGCATGCCTGATGAAGGCAGACAAAAACAAAGATGCCAAACTAAGTGAATCTGAGGTCAAGGACTTCATGCGTTTGATCAATGTTGACGTGGATGACGACTACACAGACATGCTTTTCAAGGTAATGTGTCTCTTTGAGATTTGTAGCACTACTTATTTAATAATTAATAATCTATTTTAATTTCTACATTTCCCTTGTCTTCTGCTCAGAAATGCGACACGTCAAAAAGTGGATATCTTTCAGGAAAAGAGATAAAGAACTTGTATGACCTGTTAACCGATCGTGAAGAAATTGATGTCATTTATGGAGAGTACGCCAAAACTACTGGCTATATGAACCCTAGCAATCTGGTAGACTTTCTACTGACGGAACAGAGAGAGAAAGCTTCTTTGACAGACGCTCACCAAATTATTGACAAGTATGAGCCAGATGAAACCGGTGAGTCTTTATTAAAAATATTTTTCAGATTTTTGTAACAATGAATTGATAGAAATGGAAACCTCAGATTTAACTTAATATTTAATTATATTATATTAGTTATAAGTAATTGCTATGGGAAAAATAACAACTTGCATAATTACAGAACTGTACGCTTTGGCTTCAATAATCTGGATAAAAACAGAAAAATATAGACAACTATGAAGGCAAACACAATACAATTCTGATTAAAAGCTGAACATCTCAAGCAAAAGAGCAAATGTTCTGAAAATTGACAGTAATTACAGACTTCAACACCCTTATTTACTGTTGGATGGGATTTTTTCACTCAAACGGAACTATAATTGCATACAAAGTTAATATATCCTATTTGGATTGGGAAAACATAATAGCTTTAAACAAAAGAATAATAGCTAGATAAATCAAATATCACAATAATAGAGCATCTGAAGACCGGTGTTGTAAACTTTCCACTCTGAACCAGTGGTAACGTTTGAGTTCTTGGCTGAGACTCAAACCCTCATGTTTGTGGCTGATGGGGCAACAGAAATTAACTGCTCTTCTACGCACAAGATTAAAAGTGAGCCTGTGTTTAGCATTAAGCTATGTCCCCCAGATATGAGTTGGGTGTGTTTTTGTGTTTTCTCCTTGGAATGTTAATGTTCAAGCACTTTTCTGTTTTCACTTCACTGAGCAAGCTGTTACCAAATTCTCCTTGTTATTGCGCTGTTACTACATGCATCTGACATACTATTTGTAAATGATTCCAGTCAAAGCCAAGAAGCTGCTGTCCAAAGATGGATTCCTCATGTACCTGCACTCTCCTCAGAGCCTCATCCTGAATGTGGATCATAGAGACATTTACCAAGACATGACTTTGCCCCTGAATCACTACTTCATCTCCTCCTCCCACAACACATACCTCATGGAGGACCAGCTCAAGGGGCCCAGCAGCACTGAGGCCTATGTCCGGTAACGGCAAACGCCTTTTAAAGCTTTGATAATACAACAGGAGTAACTTTTGAATACTTGGCTGAGAGCTAAAAAGTTTTGTAGATTTCATAAAGTGGCCGCTACACAAATAAAAGTACATATTCTATGTTCACGTTGATATTGTCTTTGAAGCTGTAATCTTAAAGAATTCTCCTGAATGCACACGCACACTTGACGGGACCTGGTTACTGCAATTAACAAACTATTGGGTTGCTGAAACACTCCAAACTCAATTTGAGTGATACCAGACGTTACAGTTTGTAAATCTTTTCATTCATTGAAGTTAATCAGTTCTTCTAATGTTTTGGACAGAAGATATTATTGTGCTTGTTCCAACATGAGCGTGTGTCCATCAGGGCTTTGCTGAAGAGCTGCCGCTGTGTGGAGCTGGACTGTTGGGACGGTTCTGATAACGAGCCGGTGATCTACCACGGCTACACGCTCACCTCCAAAATCCTCTTCAAAGACGTCATCAAGGCCATCAAAGATTATGCATTTAAGGTATGTATTGTTTTTTCCGAATCCCTTTCAACTTTGAGCCATGCTTTTACCATCATACAAGAATTTGAAGAGCTTTGGTGACAGAGATAAATACTAATAAAATGGAATGCAATATTTCTGTAGGAATTGCATTTTTCCTTATTCTCGCAAACCAAACTAGGTCGTACAAATTACTGTATATCTAAAGGTAAAGGTGCACTGTCTTTTTGTGCTTGTACTTATTTTATGAGGTTAGTGTACTATATGTAACAATGGGTTGTGTGATTTTATTTTTATGTTTTGTGTTCTTTTGTATAGGAACAAAACAGTTTTTGGATTAGTTATTCTCCTGCTGTGTTATTCAGACAAATATGCACAATGAAATTCCTTCTGTGTCACTTGTAGGCGTCTGATTACCCGGTGATCCTCTCTCTGGAACACCACTGCAGTGTGGAGCAACAACAAGTCATGGCCCACCACATGAGCTCCATCCTGGGCAGTGCTCTTGTGACTAAACCCCTGGGAGAGGGCATGCCCGAAACCTTCCCATCTCCTGAGGTCTACCTACACTTGTTCCTACTGTCAATTAAAACCAAAACAGTATTTTGACATTTTTTTTACTCTTCTTTCTTTAAATCTAGGAACTTAGAGGAAAGTTCTTAATCAAAGGAAAGCGGTTAAACAAACTTGAGTCTTATTTCACTCAAGAAGCAGATGAAGACACCGATGTAACAGAGGAGGAAGAGTCAGACAATGACGAAGAGGTTGAGGAGAAAGAAAAGACCCCAGTAAGAATAAAGATAACCAAAAAAGATGTGATTTTAATATTAACCTTACATTTTTCTGTGCCTAGAAAAAGAAGTTGAAATTGGCCAAAGAGTTGTCTGACATGGTGATCTATTGCAAGAGTGTGCACTTCAATGGTTTCGAGGATGCAAGGAACAACTTGAGCTTCTACGAGATGTCGTCATTCAAGGAGGGAAAGGCAAAGAGACTAGCATCAGAGTCTGGTAGGACTTCTTTCATTTAGATTAGTGTATGTTTGTTGTTGATTAACTTACATTTTCTTGTTACAGCTAATGCTTACGTTCGACATAATGTGAACAAACTGAGTCGGATCTATCCCGCCGGCTCAAGGACGGACTCCTCCAACTACAATCCGGTGTCGCTGTGGAACGCAGGCTGCCAAATCGGTACGAGTTTGTATTCAGAGACGCTCATTGAAATGTGGAGGGTTTGTCACTAGCTCTCAAAATTTGCGGCTTTGCATAAACTATTTCATGGTAGGTCTTTAAGCAAGTCTAGATGTTTTATTTGCTAATGTCACCTGTTTAGAGGTTACATTATATACATATGTGTATTTGTTATGGCTCCAGGCTGTTTGTTTCAGTCTGCAGCAGTTTTACAACCTTTTTAGCTCAGAGAGCAGATAAGCAACAATAAAACAAAGATGGTAAAATGGTGACTAATATCATATTTTATTAAAATGACAAAGTAGATAAAAAAGAAGTAACAAAAGGATTCAATATTTACAAAAAAAGAAAGTAAAAAAGACAAATAATTAATCAAAATGGCAAAACTAGTCACAATGAAAAAAATAGACAACAAAAGTTAAGCATCTCAACTAAACACTGGGCCTTAACAGTATTTACATGAAGAAACTCAGACACATATTACCTAGTATGAGTCTGGTATGTGCATAAATGATTGATGTGGTTGGAGAGGTCGATCACGGATTGACAGCCTCGCTACTGTAAGTCTATCCCAGGGCAGCTGTTTCTACAGCAGTGAAATGAAGGGAATGAAGTGATGCCAATGAAGCGTCTTTGAGTGTTGCATAAAAAGCCCTTATACATACTAATGCATTATTTTTATTAGGTCCTTGTATAATCCCAAATATTCAACTATTTGGCCCTTGTTTGCTTTGCGGTTGCCATGGTAACTATCACTAAATGTGCTCATGTGATCAGATATAAGTAAATCTTCCAAGTCAAAAAGACTATTCTTCTTGCAGACGAGGGTACCAACATTACCAAACGTTGTCATATGCACTGACTCATTGCTTTTGATCTCCTTCAAAATGTCATTAAAGTTTATGTTCAAGCTTGACATTTAGTTTTTGTTTCTGTTTTCAGTTGCCTTAAACTTTCAGACGACTTGTGAAGACATGGATGTGAACCAGGGCAGATTTCTGGTGAATGGAAAGACTGGGTACATCCTGAAACCATCCTTTTTGAGAGACCCAGCGACAGACTTTGACCCCATCACCCTGACCAGGGGAGAATGGCTCAAACACAAGACTTTCCATGTCATGGTGAGTGTTTCTGGGGATTTTTTTTTTTTTTTTTTTTTTTTTTGAGTCACTTTCTTGTATTTTTACATATAATTTATTTATGTTTCATCAGATTATATCAGGTCAGCAACTTCCAAAAATAAGTAAAAAGAAATCCTCAATTGTGGATGCAATGGTCAAAGTGGAGATCCATGGAGTCCCAGCAGATGTGGCAACAAAAGAGACCAACGTAGTTGAAAACAATGGTAAACATATTTGCACACCATTTATTGTCATACATGGCACAGTTGCTGTGATATTCTAATGTATGCTGTCGTTTTTAAGGTTTTAACCCATCTTGGAATGAAAATTTCCAATTCGATGTCTATGTACCAGAGTTGGCATTGGTGCGATTTGTAGTGGAAGACCATGACTCCACGTCTGGTAATGAATTTGTCGCCCAATACACTCTTCCCTTCAATAGTCTACAAATGGGTATGTTGAATGAACGAGAAATGTATGACAATTTTAGAAACCTTTATACAGTATTAAAGTACGTTTGTCCACAGGTTACAGACACATTCCTCTTCTCAATAAGACCGGAGATGTTCTTCCATCAGCGGGACTTTTTGTTCACGTCATGGTTCTTGACGCTTAATGTTGTTCGGATACATTCTTCCTGCAAAACCATGTTTTTTTTTATCAATGTTTTAATTTGTTTAATTTATTGGCTTGTTACAAAAAGTCTGTCACAACTCCTACAATCAGATCACAAAACAAAGCTTTTCTTCTTGAGCAAATGTTATTGTGCATAACTATTTTCACATTGTTTTATCAGACCTTTTAATGTTCAGTTCATCATGTATTTACTTCTAAATGCTGTTGCAATTTTAATGAATTTATACATTAATCATATCAAAACATTGTACCACCTGTGTGGGTTTAGTACAGGAAGATTGCCTTTGTGAAATCAGCACTGTGCTACATTTTATAAATGTTCATTATTTAACCAATGCTTTGTTTCATAAAACCTTTACTTACACTACAACCTCACACTTCATTCATCTCTGAAAGTCCAGAACTTAATTTGGATGTAGCTTTTCTTTGGGTCAAGTACCCTGCAGGTATTACTCAGTTATCACACCCTTGCTCATTTATTAATGTGCGGCTTTTGTGGATCAAAATGTTAACAATCTTTATGGGGTACTCTCTCACCATTTGGTAACTGCCAGGTAAACTATTCAGTAATTGAATGTGAACTTTGAAAGGACACACCCTTGTGTGGCGTTTGCTAATCATTGAGCCGGTGTTTATCAAGACACTCATTCAAATGTGCTTTATTAAGTTTTAAATGTTCCAATAATAGTTAATGCATATTTGCTCTTGATACAAAATTACAAAACTCAAGACATGACAAACTGATCAAATTGATTTTAATTATAGAAAGACAAATGCGGAAGATGACAACACGCAGCAAACACCCCAAAAAAAGTGATGTGTGATAAATGAACCTCTAAGTAATAATAATGACCTCAGTGTCTTTGAACTGAATAAATTAGTGTCTAACTGAGTGAAAAAGTGCTGGCTCGCATTTACGCCCCATGAACAGACTTGTTCACTTGACAGATTTGAATGGGAGGGTGGAACATAGACCGGTGATAATGAACCAAATACAAACATATTGGAAGTAGATCAGAGGTTGGAAAAAGTCACATTTTGGAAAGAGACATTGCACTGAGCCGCCATGAGCACAAGACTCACTGATGTGTTAAACATTGAAATAATATTGTGCAGGCCTTAGAAAAATGTTTCACTTCACTTGGAATAGTATTAAATGTACCCAAACTTGTGTGTTTGTGTGTTGAGTGTGCTAAAAATATTCCACAGTGCGGCCTTAAATTAATCTAAACTCCAGGAAGACTTTAGAAAATTACTTGCATGCAGGCAAGTAATTTGAAAATGAAATCCTTGGTTAAGTTAAACTGGAAAAAAATTTGAATTTCTGGATCTTCCATTAAAGAACATTTCAACTCTTAAAGTTTCACCTAACTAACTTAAGGGTCAATTTAGGCACTGGAACCAAATTTATCACGGTAGCCAAAAAATCATCTCTACACAATATATAATAATTGGCAACTCGCTATGTAAAAATAACACTGAACTCGTATGTGGGAGCTGGTCTGAGTTAGACGCCAAGGCATTAACTGCTCCCTATGCAAATACCGTCAGTGGAGTTATTGCCGTGGTAGTGAATGTTGCAGCATTCGCCTTGTGTGGCTCTTCAAACATAGGCACTGAGGTGAAGAGCAGTTTAAAGTTTTGCTGGCCGGACTCTACCTACCCCCCCCCCCACAACACCATCCTCATGAGAGTACAAAAACATGGCACCTATTCACTGTCGGATCAATTTTAACAGTACGACACCTTGTACAACTCTGTCAACAAACATACATGAGCCACAAAGAACACAGGGACACATACAAATGAAAATAATCCTATAGCAATGTTAAGCTTACTAACGATAACACTTAGAACTGAAACCCTCAAAGACAATAATTTCCTCATTTGGCAAACAAAACAAAACAAAAAAAATGCAAATACAAGACGAGCAGCGAAATGGCACGGTTTTTATCAAATCTTTGAGATGTAAAAACTACTCTCAAAGGGCCATAGCAAACATACTCAATTTCCTAATCAAATGAAATACAACTTTTCCTACAAACAACAAAAGCAGGAAGAACAAAGTTATCTATATAATGGCACAAGTTAACTGAGGGGAAGAATACCATGTGGAGGTCTACCCAGCTTTTGATGATCACAAAACTAAAGCCAAACTTTTAGATAAAAATGGTTCTGTGTCAACTTGAAAGCATTTTTCTGTGACTAAACTGAAAATATGCCATGTACAAAATGCCTCATAGAAACAACTATCAGACAAGGCACTTCAGTAAGAAGAGAGTCAGTCCTTTCTATCACCAGAACCTGCCTGCATAGCAACAAGGAGAAAATCTGTCGGACTTTTGCGTAGCATCACAAAAGACACCTCTTAGATTACTACTACTACTACTACCTCAAAAGTGTCTCTTTTTTGGTTTTTAAAACAAGCACGTTACTGACACTTTCAATGTTTGAAATAAAAACCAGAGTTCAATCCTCTTAGTCATTTTCTCCAGCATTCTCATATCCTTGTGTGGTTTTGTGACATTGTTTCTGATGGCACTCAGAAGACGAAGGCCAGTCTCCAGCAGGAGTTTCCACAGTGACACTCCAGGGCCCCCCTTGTGGGCGATGACGAAAAGGGGCACTTTATGAGGGTCTGCCTGAGTCCGAAGGGTGTGGTGTAGCTTTGAGGGCACAGATGGACACAGAGGAGGGTGTAGAGTGCCCAAGTCCATCCGCTACCTGCTCCTGAGGTTCTGCAGGACGCTGTACACTTCTTCCTCTTTGCTGAGTCCCTCAAAAAAAGGAAGCAGGTCCAGCAGTTCTGTATCATTCATGTCGTCAAACCAGGACTGTACCGGGACCTGGGCCAAAGTAGAAGATAAGTTTAGATATGTATCATTATTTGGCAATAATATAAGAATTAGGGCCGCAGCTAGAAATTATTTTAGTATTCTCTTTATTATTACCTTTGATTAATCGAGTAATCTATTGTCTATGTTTCTACATTCACTCATTTGCATGCATTTTTATTATGATTCATGAAATGAAAAAAGCATAATGTGTAATGTAAATAAAAAAAGTTTAAATCAAAGATTCTGGCCTCAGAGATGTGTTTGCCCAACGCAGAAACAATTCTATGTAAAACAAGAGCCATAATTAGTTCTGTGCTCTTGATTAGGGTTTCATATATCCATTATATTAATGGACTGGAGCGGTTTGCAGCCGAGTGTGAAGCGGCTGGGATGAGAATCAGCACCTCCAAATCTGAGGCCATGGTGCTCGACCGGAAAAAGGTGCCTTGCCCTCTTCAGGTGGGTGGAGAGGTCCTTCCTCAAGTGGAGGAGTTCAAGTATCTCGGGGTCTTGTTCACGAGTGAGGGAAGGATGGAGCGTGAGATTGACAGGTGGATCGGTGCAGCGTGCGCAGTGATGCGGTCGCTGTATCGGACCGTTGTGGTAAAGAGGGAGCTGAGCCGAAAGGCAAAGCTCTCAATTTACCGGTCAATCTTCGTTCCCTCCCTCACCTATGGTCATGAGCTTTGGGTAATGACCGAAAGAACAAGATCGCGGATACAAGCGGTCGAAATGAGCTTCCTCCGCAGAGTGGCTGGGCGCTCCCTTAGAGATAGGGCGAGGAGCTCGGAGTAGAGCCGCTGCTTCTTCACGTCGAGAGGAACCAGTTGAGGTGGCTCGGGCATCTGTTCCGGATGCCTCCTGAACGCCTCCCTGGGGAGGTGTTCCGGGCATGTCCCACCGGGAGGAGGCCCCGGGGAAGACCCAGGACACGCTGGAGGGACTATGTCTCTCAGCTGGCCTGGGAGCGCCTTGGGGTCCCCCCAGACAAGCTGGAGGAAGTGTGTGGATAGGGAAGTCTGGGCGTCTCTGCTTAGACTGCTGCCCCCGCGACCCGGCAACGGATGAAGCGGAAGAAGATGGATGGATGGATTATATTAATGGCCTTTTATGAATTATGGATGAATTTTTAATCTATTCAATTTAACTCGATTTATCCTTTCAGTCCTAATCAGAACAAACTGTGTTTTTTCCACTCACAGCATTTTCCGGGTGAAATATGTAGGAAGCCGGTGAGTTGTCAACTATGATAACGTTGTTCAGCTCTCGTCCGAGCCGGCTGAGGTCTTTGACGTAGTTGCCTCTGTGGAAAACACACGACTCCCTGAAGAGCCGCGCTCTGAATACGCTCCACTGGTCCAGCAGGTCGGCCACAGGGTCTGCATACTGAATTCAAAATCATTGAGTCTACCCGTTATACTTTTATGACATCCAACAGACTTTATAGACATGCAGATAAACCAAACTATCTACTCTCAGACTAAATGCACAACTGACTACAGACCTCTGCACTACAGCAGGTAATTAAAGGCCCCTTCATAAACTTACCCCTGCATTTTGTACAAGATGCAAAGACATAGAAAGTGAAGCAGAAAGGTGTGAAAATGACAACAAACCCAGACAATAAGAGTAGGTAGCGATATTGTATAACCAAACCTTAGCAAGACTTGCTGTAAACAGCACACACTCGAAAAGCTCCCCCATCTTTTGAAGAAATTCATCAACATGAGGCCTTTTCAGCACATACACCTGTAAAAACATAGTTGGTGGTTGGCAAATGACCAAATCAAATACAAAAAGCCAATTCCATATACAACATGCATCAAAAAAGCCTATTACTAAAATAAATAGAAATTATGAATTTCTCCAATAATGAAGCAACAATGGCTGCCGTCCAGTGCAAGTAATCATGAATAGGCCAACCAAGAACACACAGCCTATCCTGGATTACTTGAACTGGATCACAGCCTCCATCTTGGAACTTTGTAAATCCTGTAAGTGTAGTTCATGATCACCAAAGCTTCAAAGCGTGACAAACCTGATGAACGATACCATCAATCTCCACTGGAACAATGAAGTCTGCGTTGCTTATTGGCTGAAAAGAGGGAGCATTGTAATTTACAGAATGGACAACAACAATTATGACCAATATCAAATATGATCTATGTATTTGTATGTACCCTTACCTTAAACGAGCTGTGGACGAGGGTTTCATCTAAGTCTATCACGACACACTTTTTGCCATAATCGGAAATCATCATCTCAGGCAGGAGGTATTTGGCTGGTGGCTGCATAAATACAGCAAGATATCAAGTGAATAAAAGAAGAAGGTGGTTGAGGAGTTTGATAACTTTGTGATAGATTTAAGACAGGGCAGGAGAGATGTTGGACAAAAACAATATTTTTTAGATAAATAGGAGAATATATCAAGAGTTTACAAATATTGAAACTATACAGTATTTAAAACGGCAGAATGTCACCAGCAGCATGGAGCAAGGACTGCTCCTCTCCCATGCCACAATGCTGCATGCTGCTTGTTGAGCAAGCTACATTTTATTAAATGCACAAAAGACATTATTAACTCGTCTGCAATATCATCATGAAATGGTATGAACTTGTCTGCCGTATCATTATGAAATGGTAATTTGAAAAGTAACCATATACATAATGGTTATTCAAAAATTTTCATGTGACAATGACAGCTGCCTGTTTCCCTCTCCTCATGTGGTTACATTCGATATATGGCCATTAGTCCCTGAAAGTTGATAAAACCCAAATGTATCACCCATGCTTTAGCATAGTTTAGCATCAGCAAAGCACCCTGAGGAGCCAACGCAAACAGGAAGTGATAGCACCAACCCATACAGCCAGATGCACAGGAAATGGAAAAAAGGCAATACATACACTAGGGACAGGGATGACCTCGACCTGGTCACACTACAACACAAGAGAAGGACACGCACACACAAAGGTAAGGGAGGTAGAACTATTTAAACACTTTACAAAAAGGGAAGTTCAAGTCAATGAAACAAAACAGACAAAAACTACAACATAAATTATGTACAGACTCAGAAGCCAAATGGGAGAATCGGAGTGGCAGTGTAGCCAGCGCACCTTGGGAGGGGATCCGTTCTCCTCAACTGGTGGAGGTAGGGCGCTGGTGTTCGAGTTGGCGGCTGGTGGCTCAACATTGTAATTTCGAAAGCAGCAGAATAATGTGCTGAAGATGCTGCGATTCCTCTGCTTTTTGGGGCTGCTTTTTGACTGGGATCCTGTTGAAATACAAAAAAAATAAATTGCATCAGAATAAGTTTACAAATATCGACTTATCTATTCTTTTTGTACGTTGTTACTTTATTGTTAGTTGCCGTTTGATTGTCATAGTTATTGCATCCTGGTCTATATATGTGAAAGAGTATATGTAGGTGTACATGTTTGTATATATTTCTCAGCTTTATATCTCCCACAAGCTCAAAACACTTACACATGCACGCACACACACACACACACACACACACTTACCCTACCCTAACCCCAGTAGTACCTTTGTTGTTTATTGTACTGTAACTATGTATTTTCCTGTATGCCTAAATAAATATAAAAAAAAAGAATAAAAAAAAAAAAAAAGAATAAGTTTACAGATAGTTATAATACGTAAACCAGTTTGTTCCGATTCCTTGAAAGTGATCAAAATAGAGCCAAAATGGTAGATAAAGGGATTCTTTTTTTTCTACCCTGTTTTTTGGGTTTCTGTTGGATTTTGACATAACCAACAGAAAACAACCAAAGTCTCAGTTAGAGGAGAATTGGTCTTCAGGCCCAATGCTCAGGGGTTTGATCTCCCTACGAGACACTTACACCTGTCTCTGGGCAAGATACTTAGCCCCATTCAGCCTGAACTTCCCCCGAGAACAAGGCCGTGTCGTAGCTGACGGAGCAGCCATCCTGCCATGGACCCACCACCTGCAGGAAGCATCGTTGAATAGCAGCCAACCTTTTATTCTCATAATGAGCAATAAGTATGATGAAGCATGTGTCTGATGAGATCGATGATGCTGTGATAATTTTGTGACTTCACTCACAATCAGTTCAACTTTTGGGGTCTAAATAATACTTTTATCAATAGTGATAAGTTGAGAGCAGCAGACGCCCCCCCTCCCATTGGCCCTCTCTTTCCTTCCCGAGACCGGATTGGTCCGCAAGTCTCCATTTTTAAAGTGTACTTTATTCCCTCCCTTGAGCTGGCAGGTGAGTGACTGAAGCAGCCTGGACATGTAGGAGGGGAGGAGACCCAGAGTCTGAGCAGCCGCTATACAAGGGTGCATTCCTCTCTACCTACTCTGTGTCCGGCCTTCAGGACCAAGAATGCTTTGAGTGTGGGCCAGCAAAGAGATATGTCATGTCTCTCTGTATCTTGTCGGCAGTCACACAATGACCTCAAATAAAAAGAAAACATGTTTAAATGCTGATTTATAAAGAATAAAAAAAGGCATTATCTATTACTGTTTGCATCTTCCTTATTGTGTCCGTCTGTTAGTATAAAATATTTTTTAATATTTCTACAACTGTTTCGGTTGTCAATATAAAAACTATTTACACCATAAAATAGGAATCATAAATCTTTCACTCAAACACCCTCAGCTTTTGTGACCATAGTTTCCTTTCTTTTCTTTTTTTTTTAAACAACTAAAACACACACACCTCACCGGTAACTAGCCGTTTTCTTTTAACAACCAACTGCTTCTTGAAGCTTAAAGCAGGCATTGCATAGTCTAACATTTAGAAACAGGATGGATTTAAATGAGCAACAGGCTTGTTGCAGAATATATGTGGTACAATGGCATCTGCTTTCACACCAGAATCTGGATATTTTACAACCTCTGTGTGAAATAATGATGAAGGAGGTAATGTCAACTAAAAATAAAACACAATGCAATAACACATACGCATAACAGGCGCAATTCAACCTGCTCCAGAGAACAAAACGATTCGTCCCATCAACAGATTTATGTACCAGTAGTTTCTAGTCCAAAACAAGTATTAGTCTTAAATTAAATAGATTTATGGACAATGCGAAGAATTTTGTAAGGATGCACTTATACCACAGACCATGTTTAAATATGCTTATACTGATACTGTCCCCCACCTTTTAGTCTAATCAGTAAAAAGACAGGACTTAAAATGAGGGAGAATATCTTTAGGTGACCTAAGAGGGGCCTTTGACATTTAACCTTCTCTCCAGTAGCATGTGCTGATACACATGAAGGACATTTGTAGCATGTTGGTGTATATATATTCACTACTTTTTTACACATCATTTTGAAAAAATGCAGAAAAATATTAAATTAGGGCTAGAATCTTGAACCAAACTGTTCTACAAGCTAGGAACTAGTAAGATATTATTTAGGGCAATCAGTCTATAGTCATTAAAATCGATTAATCATAGGTGACAAAAAATTCTATTAGTTAACCCAAAATATGTGAAACAATATGTGAAACCTGGAGCCATGTAAAACAGGTGTTTTGTGCCTTCAGATTAAATAATCCATATAATAATGAACGCATAAAAGTAAAGTTAAAAACAAAAACAATAGGCCTACACACAGTGCTGCTCATGCCTCACCTAGGGGCTTTAGTCACATAGTCACCCTTTAAAATGGCTTAATAAAAGTTCCTCCACTCTTCTGTATGAGACACACAGAGCTCTTCTTTAATCTGCACTGGACAAACACATGAATAAAATCCAAAAGTGTTTCCTATCGCCAGGTGCACTAACAGTGGCACGTTCTGCACCGTCTACACAGAGCACATGAGGAGATTGGGCACAGCGTAACCTTCAGCAACAGCCTGGATGAGAGACAAACATCCACGGGGGAAGGAAGGGAAATCACTGGATATACTGACAGGAGATGTAACTAGGTTCACAGACTATCTCTGACGGTCTATGGTACAGAAGCAGCGCACACAAATAAGCTTGAATGTGATATAAGAGGAAGAAGTACAGAAATTGTCAGTAATTACCTAAAACCTTGTATTTGCATAGTCAAACGAATACGGTGACAGAAAGAATATTTTCTAATACATATATATATATATATATATATATATATATATATATATATCTCACGCTTTTGTAGGTTTAGACCAAGACCAAAGTACAAACTTCAAGCTAGTTTGTGTGCAATAGAAGTCTCTTAGGGTAAAAGGCACAGACCAAAGAACTGTTCTGGAACCATTACAGAAAACAACCTGTGTGTCAACTATATGAATCATATAATTATAACAGTTTGAGATTTGGTAAATAATGATCATTGTTGTTGTGTGTGAAATGTCATGCCGTGTGTGAGGTCAATGGTGCCCTGGACCACAGACCTAAGGCTCTATATTTAGACAGAAGCTTGGCAGCAAAAAACAGCGTTCATACAGGAGACACATGTTGTAAGACCACAGGCAGAGTCACACCAGGCAAGTGGTCAGACTAAAATAACTTTTGGCATAAAGGATGAAAATGAGAAAACACAAGACAAGAGCAATGCATGAGTTTCAGCGCTGTGTTTTGAGGATTTTTCCTTTTTAAAAGATCAAAAACCCTCTAAAACGTTTAACGCAGCTGCAATCATCATACTTCAACCTCATGAAACCTATGGACGCCAAAACACAGCATTTCAAATTGGAGTAAATTGGAGATGGACAATAACTAGAAACATCGTATTGTATCTTAGTCAAAAAAGTATTACGCGGCAGTAATTACTGTATTCCAGTATAATCCCCTTGATTCTTGCGAGCAGATTGCAATCTGTGTACAGTAATCTTCTTACATCAAGATTTAACCCTTGTGCATTAGAAATATGCAAATGAGGGCATTCTTCTAACTTTATTTATTTATTTATTTTACTTAAACATTACAGTATATGTATCCATTGATTGAATAGGATTGCCTTGGACATATAATCACTCGTTAATTTGAGGAAAATATGCATTCAATAAACCCCAGACCCAAAAAATGTCTTGATTTTTTTTGTGGTGGCCATTCATCCTGTTCATGTACAAAGATGTTCATTAAGTCATGTAAATCCTAAACCCACCACCACCACCACTATGGCAAATACTAAAGTACATTATTATTACTACTACAAGTAATTATTACTTTTATATCACTTTTAGTCATGTGGAGAAATATGGGTTTCTCTAGAGAAATATGTTTTGTAGTGTCTGGAATTTGCATTTGAGAAATTTTTGCTAACGTATTCCAATGTGTTTTTTTTTTTTTACTGCAAATGGCAAATAAACGGAATCTGATTTAATCTTATAGTATTTTTTAAGAATGGTTAGGATGAGTATTATCTTCCAAATACTATGGTTATCCATTCTTAAGGTTCAATACAACAGTTTCAATTTTATCACTTGTGCTTCTGTGAAGAAAGGAACAACAACATGATGATTATGCCGATATAAAATCCATGTAGATTTTCGCTGTGGGACCACCCGACTCCACTGTTTATGTTTAACTCATTTGACAGTTCATACCATCACAATGTTTCGATCAATTTAGCATCACTAGTCCTACAATCTGTAGCATGAATAGCTGCCCGTTTATGCGATTTATGAGGTTCCAAAAGTGCATGTTTATGTATTCATATGAATTAATGCTATAACTCACAAGAAAAGCAAGGATACAAAGCGCTGCTACATCATGTACTTTGCAAACTTAATGAATTCTCCTGAACAAACTCTTCAAAAGCCGCACGAAAACTTGTTGCTCTTCAAAGTTTAGAAACTATTCGTTTTGCATTAAAATAACAATATAAACAGTGGATCAAGATACCGCTAACAAACGTGAGCTGATGTTAGAAGAGAAAGTGACTAGCACGCTATCACTAGAGCCCAGTTACTTTATTCTTACCTTTATCTTGATTAAAAGCCAATATTTCCTCTTCCTTTGGATTGGAAACCTGTGTTATTATGGACATGTGGTCCATTTAGGCGGGTGATTCTTTCTGCTTTGTTTCCCAGAGCGTATCCGTGCTAGCGCGCTTTCTCCGAGTGCTAAGCTAACGTTAGCCGAGCGTCAGTCTCTCTATCCCAGGCGCAGTGTTGTGGCAGCGGGGTTAGCCAGCCAGCAAGCACCGAGGTGTGTGGTAGCCAGACAGGGAATTGCATTTATGACTCGTCACAAAATGGCACACATGCAAACTACCCTAATGAAGTAAAAATAACTAACGTAAAGAAAAATGTACACCTCATTTACGCTTCGCTAAGCCCTGCTAGCAAGTTAGTGTTAGCCGTGAAGCTCAGTTGATCCAAATGTTACACGGCTGTGCCAGAGATCGACCCTGGAAACCACAGGAAGTCGGCCAAAACCAGAGAAGTTCAAACATCCATAGATTCAAACTCGAAAACATGCATAACCAAGCAGATAAAATAATAGCCCATTCGAAAGGTATATGTATTTGTATAAAAACATATAAGGATGTACATGTGATTTTATCACTGGTTGTTTTGTTGTTGTTTTTTTCTCAATGAGGAAAGTACCAAAGTGTTTATGATATTTAGTTTCATTTTCAACATACAGAAAGTTTTAAAACATGAGTATCAGATGCATATTGCACAATAGATACATCTAACCCTAAAAACATAGTGTCAATACTACGACTGTCATCAATAATACAAAAAACAACCTGTTATTATTAGTATTTTGCTATTTTTTTTAATTAAAAGCTCAATCAACTTATAATTTTGCTGCATGATCATTTTCGTCGTTAGTATAACTGCATGGCGATGTTAATTTATTTTCTTCATAAAAAAAACAAAAAAACAAAAAACAAAAAAACAACCCTTAATTTGTATTTTTAACCCACAGTGAAGTTTACAATGCACATTGGGCCAAATCTAGAGCTGCTGTACTGCTTGTGTAGTTGCGCCCTCTTGTGTCAGCGTCAAATAATAAAGCTGGCGAAACAAATATTGCTCTTTTTCTGTTTAGAGCGACTGGTTTTGCGTGGGTTCCTTGAGTGCTTTCAAACGACGCTACAAATCCAGCCAACGGAATGGTTAAATATCTTCACAGATACGTAATTAACAGTGATTGTGAGAATATAGACTACACTGTTGTTCTAAATCGTGGTGGCTTCATATTTATTTGAAATAAATAAATAACTGACTGGCTATATGGATGCCGCATTGCTTGATGCTTTCTCCTATAGCTTCTCTCACTCCTATCCTAGGCTTAAGGGGACCACCCCTCGTTGTGGAGTAGTAGTGAAGGATAAATATATCCCCCACCTCCGCCTCCTCCCGCCGTGAGTCCGCAACATCCTGACTGGCCCAGGCTGGGGAGCAGCAGCGGTAAGCCCCCTCAAGACATATGAAGTGAACCTGCCCTTAACATCCTCCGAAGCTGCATTATACTCAAGAAACAAACTCGGCCAACAGCGTGAAAACTATTAAGCCAATGCAAGGTTAGTAAAAGAGTGCTCTTTAAGATAGTTAAACGACAAAAAGCTTTAAAAGGCATTGGGTATATCTGTGAGCCCAGAGGGGGAAAGTGACCATATTAGTATGCAGGACATTTTGCTGGGGTCGCACTTGCAGCACGGGCTAGACTTGATTCAACAGTCCATTTGTAAAAACAAAGTCCAGACAAGCTAAAGATCGCAAATACACATATTGTAGTTGCTAAAATATGGTTTGTTGTTCGGTACTGTACACTTTGGTATAGCCATGGCTAATTATTGTTGAAGTGAGTCCCAAGCGCCTCTCACATGGATCACATAGCACTGCAGCTGCGCTGTACAGCCAGACCAACTGTGAGGGCTATAATAGGAAGGAGGGGTAGAGTTGCGCAGCTGACAAGGCTGATTCTGAGGAGCCGCTCTTCTGCAGTCCCTTTTTAGGTCCATGTCTGTTCAATTCTTCTGGATTACTGTAAAAAGCCATCTAATGTGGTCATTCTTCTTTTAACATTACAAATATGGGAAATGTCGATATACAGCTTGTTTTGAACGAACTTTTAATTTTAGCTTTACCACAACCCACTTGGTTAACAACTTTAGAAATGTCTGTTCAAATATACACATGTTTTCTGTCAGGATTTCATGTATGGTAAAACAATGCTTGATTATTCAACACAAATATCAGTCTTTATTGAAATAAACAGTCTCAGTCATGACCCATTCCATCCTATGTGCAGAGAGACCATGGGGATCAAAGCTGCTCTCCCCAGATATGAGCTATATCTCTATGCTGCAGTACTGGCTGGGTCCTTGGTATGGGCAGGCAGTTGGATACTTGAAGCTTCAAGTGGTGAGTGTATGACATCCTGAAATATTTAAAGCACACACAGAGTACATACTGCAGCCATGAAAACCTGCTGCGCTTAGTATATGTATACCCAACTAATACTAATCAGTGTTCTATTGTGAACCACTAGTAGTGGGTCTATTAGAAAATAATAATCCCCTGTCTACTGAGCTAATTAAAGCCCTTATCAGGAGGAAAGCACATCATGTAAGGAGTAGTGTCAGTGTAACTCTGCGACTGGCACAATCTGTCACTCACTGAAGCGTATTGTTGTTCTCCATTTTGCATCAATTCTCGCTCTCCCCCTTTAGTTCGCCTTTGTCCTTACATGGTAACTCTGACACCGCAACTTATCAATCTATCTATCTATCTTTCTATCTATCTTTCAAAATGCTGTTTATACTTAAAAATGCGCAGCCATGGTCTGGTGGCAAGAGTGAGTTGTTACAATATATTATTCTTAATTCATTATTAGTGACTTTTGTGACAGTTGACATTTTACATTTAACTCCAAAATCAACATCAATATTTTGAAGGAATGTTTTTACATGATTATATTACAAAAACAACACTTTCTTTTGTACCAATGGTGAGTTAATCTCTTAGAGGGTTTACAATATAATGAGAAAAGATGACAATCAAAACCCATCGAGCAGCAAGTGCATTGCGTGACACAAATATGCCCAGCACCTAAAATCATTACATGGACAATCCAGCAATCCCATTATGTGGTTTAGTGCACAAGGACACATCATCACATCCTTTTGTGACCTCTGCCCTTTTCTCTGTTCAGTCAATATAGACAGAAAGACCTTCAGAGACAGTGTTCAGCCAGGATGGCATTATTTTGGCAGGAAAATGGTAGGTTCTGGTTATTACAAACGTATAAACCTTTCTGTAACATGAGACGAATGCTATGATGATGATGGTTCTTCACAGGACGCAGCAGACTTTGAGTGGATGATGTGGTTCTCTACATTCCGCAACCATATACTCTTTGCTCTCACCGGTCATGTGATCTTTGCCAAAATATTTTCCATTGTGGCTCCAAAGGTGCGTGCATATTCCACATCTCAGTTTGTTGGAGTAATGATGTTTTTGCCACAAATATATGGGTTAGTATGCAGTAATAGTAGAAAGTAAGTTTATTATTCTGGATCAGGGGGGTGGCAATCAGAGCTGCCACCCAATTCACATCCTGACCCAGAAATGGAAAATAAAGGGATGTAAATGAAATGAAATGAAATGAAAGTTTATTATATTATAACATTTTATATCAAAGTTAATATTAACATTTTGTTTTTGGGTTCACCAGTTGATTTAGAATTACATTAGTGTGTTATTTGGGTTGCCAGTCGCTGCCCAAAGCTAAGCAGCAGTAGATAATTGGTTCTCATAGCTGGAGGAGCAGTCACATGTGGGTGCCTAGCATGTCTTTGTTATTAAACCAGTCCCTTTGTTTGATATTATTTGTTTTAAATATCTATTTTCTGTCTTACGTGATTGTCTGTGAAGATTGGTTTGGATGGATGTAAGGTAATAATAAAAGGTTCCTGTTGTATTCATTAACCCGCATGCACATCACAAGCTCATACTGTCCTAACCATTTTAATGTTCATTCTTGTTGTTTGTTGTCGTCATTTGCTGTAAGTGACTCTTGATCACTGCTCAGCGCTGACACTGGTCCCTCTTTGCCCACAGCACAGATCCTTGATCTTTGGTCTATATGGTGCTCTGGCTGTTTTAGTGACAATGGGATGGACCTACATGGCCCTGGTGCTGTCTCACTGCCTGGTGCTTTTCAGTGTTGCACTAATTAAACGGAAGTGGCTGGTATTTGCTGCAGGCCTCACCACTTTAGCTTCAATCAAACTAGAGCCATATAACTCCTGGCAGGTGAGTGGACTATAGGTACTGAATTAGTTATTGAGAGGAAACCAAAACTCTATTTTAACCAGAAACATAGTACATTATGTATTACATTATAAAATTGATAACATGTATTAACTTGTTTTGAACATACTAAATTGTGTGAACATTTTTGGGTTTGTTTTAGGAAGCGATGGTGACAGGCAGCTTCGACTTGCAGGATGTCTTGTTTTATGGCGGCGTTGGCTTCAGTATCATGCGCTGTATGAGCTTTGCTCTGGAAAATTGTGAAAGAAAGGAAGGAAGCTACTCTTTCTGTGATTTACTTAAATACAACTTCTACCTCCCTTTCTTCTTCTTTGGACCCATCATGACTTTTGACAGGTATCATGCTCAGGTGAGGTGTGAAGAACAATGATCAGCAAAGTGTCTCAATGTCTCTGAATAAATACAAATATGCTTTATAATTGCACAGGCCACCACCACAAAGCTGGCGCGTAAGGACAGGGAGATGTGGAACATCACCAGTAAAGCCCTGCTGCACCTTGGGGTCATTCTGGTGGTGGATGTCTTCTTCCATTATCTGTACATTTTGACAATCCCCAGTGACTTGAGGCTGGTTGGAAAGCTTTCTGACTGGTGTTTAGGTGAGCTAAATTTGATCTTTTTAGGTCAAATTTTGTGAGCTTTGTTTGATTTTGGTGTAACTTGTGCTGATCCTACCAGCTGGTTTGGCATATTCTAACCTGGTGTATGACTGGATCAAAGCTGCTGTCATGTTCGGAGTCATTAACACAGTGGCCACTCTGGACCACCTGGACCCTCCCCAGCCTCCCAAATGTATTACCATGCTCTATGTTTTCTCTGAGACGTAAGGATCCGCTAAATGTTATATATAAAATGTATTCCCTTGAATGTAATGGTATGGTCAACATCTATCCTCTCAGGCACTTTGACAGAGGCATCAATGACTGGCTTTGCAAGTAGGCTTTAACAGTATATTAATGTTTGTGAGGCAACTGTTCAATGTGTTAATGTTTCATAGGTACGTTTATGACTACATTGGTGGAGATCATGATAAAATCTTTAAGGAGCTGTTGGCAACTTTTTGCACATTTTTCATCACCACATTGTGGCTTGGGCCATGTCAGCTGGTCTACCTCTGGTCTTTCTTCAACTGCTTTGGTCTGAACTTTGAGTTGTGGGTGGCTAAATTGTTCTCTCTTCCTCCATTTTCTACCATTGAGGTAAACATATGTATATCAATGTTTTGATGATTGAATAATCTCAGTCCAAGTCCTATTTACTCACATGAGCTTTAACTCCAGCGTGTTTTGGGCGAGGGAATGTCGCGCAGGATAAGAGGTGTGTTTAACGCTGCCAACTTCTGGGCCATCATCCTCTACAATGTCCTCTCCCTCAACAGCCTGGAGTTTGCCAAACTTGTGGGAAGAAGGTTGATTTTCAAAGGTACTGACAGTGATATAACATCAGAGCGTTGTGAGCACAATCCAAGTATAATGAGTGGACGCCTAACCCTAACTTTTTTGTGTTCATTCCCAGGTTTTCCTCTCTCCACTTTGTCCGTGTTGATGGTGACCTACTGTGGTGTGCAGCTGGTGAAGGAGAGAGAGAGACAGATTGCCTTACAGGAAGAGTTGGAGCCAGAAAAGCCGGCAGATGCCAAAGAAAAATCGGAATAATAGCAATAACATGGACAAAACATTTTTTGTAATCATGGACTGTTTTGTGAAGTCGACTATCACATTTTACTGAACACAAGCTGTTCACTGTTACTTTTATCAGTGAGATATTTTTCTATGAGAATGGCCATTTTACAGGGCTGTGAGAGATCCTTAAGTGCACTTGCTGTATGGACACCTAGTCCTGGCACAAACCCACTGACAGTGCATTTGTAGTTACTTTTAACTAAACAAACCGTTGTAGGATATGTGTATATATATATATATATATATTTATATATATATATATTTATATATATATATGAATACATTAATTTATATATATAATGGATTACAGCAGAGATCACAAATTACGTTTCATTTTGGTCTTGTGTTTTTAGGTCTACACTGTAATTTTGATATTTGATTTAACTTAAAGTATGTTTGACACTACTAATGGTGACAACCTTCAACAACTACATGGAAGGATATGGAGCCTTATCAAACTTGAATCCAAGGAGCTGCTTACTGACATGAGTGAAAAGAAAAGGGTGCTTCTATGGGGAGTCCATCTCCATTTAGCTTACAAATAGATGTTTTGAGTTTGTCCTTTGGTAATGAGGAAAGAGAATGTGTCTTACAAGTGCAGTGTGTTTCTGCTCATATTAAATATGCTTCAGGTTTGTGGTCACATGTAGTGGCATGTTGAGAAGCATAAGTTAAAAACCAGGTCTATCCGACCTGTCAGGTGTTTGGGACAAAAATGCAATTACTTTTTGTGTATTATGATGTTAAATCCAAATATTAATTTAGTTTGGCTTGAAATAAAAATATATACTACATGTGAAATCTGTCTGTCGCGAGGTGGCGCCATAGCCCTAGGTTCATTATGACCACGTGGTATTGTTTTTGTCTCTGTCTCACATACATAGCATAGGTATTTTTAGTGGAAACCTCCGCCTACACCGGGAGAACATGCAAACTCCGTAGAACCAGCCTGGTTAGGGGATCGAAACAGGGACTGAACCAAGGAACTTGCCACAGTCTCAGGTAGCTCCATAGATATAGCTTTATGGATGTATTGTATCTGTGGACGTCATGGATCCACTACACTGTTCACCACAAAGCAGCAATTAGCATGTAAATATTACACAAATTGAATAACGTCAAAATGATATGCACTGATTTTAATGATGAAGAGCGATATCCAACAACATTATAACTGCAAAGATGTTCATCTTACCGCGGTGAAGTTGGTTTCACGTTGGACGTTGGATATTCGCCTCCAGCACTAAGATCGTTCGAACGAACTTAGGGACCGTCTATGAATTACTGTCTTTGTAAAAAGGCGTTGGTTTAAAAAAAATAATGTAGGTGTAAATCAATAATGTGATACAAATAAACAATTTTAATGAAAGGAGATAGATTAAATGTAATCTTTAGGTGTATTTTCTACCACATTTAATATTATAGTATTTTATACCTACTGTTGAATGTAGCCTATATATTTTCAATAAGCCTATATTCGGAATCATGTGAACCAGCAAAGTAAATAATATTTACCACACGTTTTTATTCCTATTTTCATGTTTTGAAACTTTAGAAAAATCATAATCCTGGAAAATCACCAAAAAATACAATATTTTTTTCAATAGGTTTATGGTTATGTGACCCAGTCACCCCAAACCACTTTACAAAATTAGTACTACCTCTAGGCTATGGGGCTCAGGCCATGAAATTATGCTTAATAGATTTGGTGTATTTTTCAAGGATTTTTGATTGAAAGTATGGGTTTTTCCTCAATAGCTTTTAAGGCATTTGACCCAGTCACCCCAGAATACTTTACAAAATTAGTACTACCTCTAGGCTATGGGGCTCAGGCAATGAAATCATGCTGAATAGATTTGTTGTATTTTTCAAGGATTTATTTATATAAAGTATGTTTTTTTTCCTAAATAGCTTTTAGAGCATTTGACCCAGTCACCACAGAATACTTTACAAAATTAGTACTTCCTCTAGGCTATGGGGCTCAGGCAATGAAATTATGCTGAATAGATTTGGTGTATTTTTCAAGGATTTTTTATATAAAGTTTGGGTTTTTCCTCAATAGCTTTTAGGGCATTTGACCCAGTCACCCCAGAATACTTTACACAATTAGTACTTCCTCTAGGCTATGGGGCTCAGGCCATGAAATTATGCTTAATAGATTTGGTGTATTTTTCAAGGATTTTTTTATATAAAGTATGGGTTTTTCCTCAATACCTTTTAGAGCATTTGACCCAGTCACCACAGAATACTTTACAGAATTAGTACTACCTCTAGGCTATGGGGCTCAGGCCATAAAATTATGCTTAATAGATTTGGTGTATTTTTCAAGGATTTTTTTATAGAAAGTATGGGTTTTTCCTCAATACCTTTTAGAGCATTTGACCCAGTCACCCCAGAATACTTTACAAAATTAGTACTTCCTCTAGGCTATGGGGCTCAGGCAATGAAATTATGCTGAATAGATTTGGTGTATTTTTCAAGGATTTTTTATATAAAGTTTGGGTTTTTCCTCAATAGCTTTTAGGGCATTTGACCCAGTCACCCCAGAATACTTTACAGAATTAGTACTTCCTCTAGGCTATGGGGCTCAGGCCATAAAATTATGCTTAATAGATTTGGTGTATTTTTCAAGGATTTTTTTATATAAAGTATGGGTTTTTCCTCAATACCTTTTAGAGCATTTGACCCAGTCACCCAAGAATACTTTACAAAATGAGTACTACCTCTAGGCTATGGGGCTCAGGCCATGAAATTATGCTGAATAGATTTGGTGTATTTTTCACGGATTTTTTATATAAAGTTTGGGTTTTTCCTCAATAGCTTTTAGGGCATTTGACCCAGTCACCCCAAAACACTTTACAAAATTAGTACTACCTCTAGGCTATGGGGCTCAGGCAATGAAATTATGCTGAATAGATTTGGTGTATTTTTCAAGGATTTATTTATATAAAGTATGGCGTTTTCCCTCAATAGCTTTTAGAGCATTTGACCCAGTCGCCACAGAATACTTTACAAAATTAGTACTACCTCTAGGCTATGGGGCTCAGCCCTTGAATTTTTTCTTAAAAGCTTTTAAAATTATTTTTGGGTTAAAAATACCAGTTTTTCTTCAATAGCTTTTAGGGCATTTGACCCATTTACTCCAAACCACTTTTAAATAATAGTACTACCTGAGGGCTATGGGGCTCAGCCCTTGAAATTGTTCTTAAAAGCTTTTAAAATTATTTTGTGCCTAAAAATACCAGTTTTTCTTCAATAGCTTTTAGGGCATTTGACCCATTTACTCCAAACCACTTTTAAATAATAGTACTACCTGAGGGCTATGGGGCTCAGCCCTTGAAATTGTTCTTAAAAGCTTTTAACATTTTTAAATGATTTTTTTGGTTAAAAATACCTGTTTTTCTTCAATAGCTTTTAGGGCATTTGACCCATTTACTCCAAACCACTTTTAAATAACAGTACTAAATGAGGGCTATGGGGCTCAGCCCTTGAAATTTTTCTTAAAAGCTTTTAAAATTATGTTTTGCCTAAAAATACCAGTTTTTCTTCAATAGCTTTTAGGGCATTTGACCCATTTACTCCAAACCACTTTTAAATAATAGTACTACCTGAGGGCTATGGGGCTCAGCCCTTGAAATTGTTCTTAAAAGCTTTTAACATTTTTAAATGATTTTTTTGGTTAAAAATACCTGTTTTTCTTCAATAGCTTTTAGGGCATTTGACCCATTTACTCCAAACCACTTTTAAATAACAGTACTAAATGAGGGCTATGGGGCTCAGCCCTTGAAATTTTTCTTAAAGGCTTTTAAAAAATGTAAATGATTTTTTTGGTTAAAAATACCTGTTTTTCTTCAATAGCTTTTAGGGCATTTGACCCATTTACTCCAAACAACTTTTAAATAATAGTACTAAATGAGGGCTATGGGGCTCAGCCCTTGAAATTGTTCTTAAAAGCTTTTAACATTTTTAAATGATTTTTTGGGTTAAAAATACCTGTTTTTCTTCAATAGCTTTTAGGGCATTTGTCCCATTTACTCCAAACCACTTTTAAATAACAGTACTACCTGAGGGCTATGGGGCTCAGCCCTTGAAAGTTTTCTTAAAAGCTTTTAAAATTATTTTTTGGTTAAAAATACCAGTTTTTCTTCAATAGCTTTTAGGGCATTTGACCCATTTACTCCAAACAACTTTTAAATAATAGTACTAAATGAGGGCTATTGGGCTCAGCCCTTGAAATTGTTCTTAAAGGCTTTTAAAAAATGTAAATGATTTTTTTGGTTAAAAATACCTGTTTTTCTTCAATAGCTTTTAGGGCATTTGACCCATTTACTCCAAACAACTTTTAAATAATAGTACTAAATGAGGGCTATGGGGCTCAGCCCTTGAAATCGTTCTTAAAAGCATTTAAAATGTTAAAATTATTTTGTTGGTTAAAAATACCTGTTTTTCTTCAATAGCTTTTAGGGCATTCAACCCACTCATCCCAAAACACTTTTAAATAATAGTAATACCTTAGGGCTATGGGGCTCAAGTTATGATTTATAATAAGCTTATATATTTTTTTTTATTACTGGACTTTTGTCTGTTTTTGAGTGTTTCCCAGCATTCCATAATTTTAGGGCAGTTCCAAAAGATGTGTTTGTTATCACCTGTTTGACCTCTCCAGCCTGTGCTGGGCACATTGTTAGATTTGAAAACATGTAGTGGTACCAGGAAGAAGCCCGATTTTAATTTCCACTCAAACTCCCTCCAAGTAGCACTGACAAAGCTTGCATGTCCTTCTCCAAATGTCTCTGCCCACTTTTCATTTGGTATTATAATTTTTCTTAGATCTGAGTTGAGGAAGCTCAGATCCTTCCATGTGTGCAGCAAACTGTCCAGTACTGTATGTGGTCTCCAGTGCCCTTTTTTACACTGTGGTCTGCTGGGGGAGCAGTACCCCCAAAGGGACCGCTCTCGGATTGACAAGCTGA